TTTTTTTCAAAAATATTGAATAGATATTTATGGAATTTAATTAATTAGTTTTAAATGGATAAAAATAACAAATTAATATAACAATTAATTAATTATCAAATAAATATTAATTTATAAATTTGCTTTTACGAAGAGATATTACAGAAAAATTAATTTAACATTCATTATTTATTATTAATATTTGTATTTAAAATATATATTTAAAAACAAAGTAGGAATTAGATGGGGATCATATTTTAAAAAATCTAGTAATTAATAAATGCTATTAATTAATTAACTACTAGAATTTTTTCAAATAATACTAACTGGCCATCTCTAATTCCTACTATATATATTTTTAATTATATGTTTTAAATACAAATATTAAGATTAAATAATAAATTTTAAATTATTTTTTCTGTGATATCTCTTCATATAACAAAATTAATAATTTAATATTTGATAATTAATTAATTATTATATTTTATTTGTTCTTTTTATCTATTTATAATTAATTAAATTTCATAAATTGCAATTCAATATTTTTGAAAAAAAAATAAATGATATAATAGATTAAATATTACAAATAATTAGAAGAAGTAATTATTAATTTTTTTATTAGTATCCTTTAAATTTATATAAATTAATAAAAAAAGTTTTTAAGCTCTTCGCTTTTATCTCATTAGGTTCTCAGTATAAATCTGAGGTAAATTTAATTTATAAATATTATTTTTATTATTATTTATATTTTTATAATATTTAATTTTGAATTTATTTAAATAAATTATTTTTGTTATAGAAATCATCATTATTATTGATTGATTTTTATTAAAACAAAAATTTTTAGCTATTTTAACTTGATTTTCAATTCAATTTTTAATTATTTATTATTCATTTTTTATTATTTAATATATTTTCTTCATTTTTTGCTATTTAAACTTACACTCAATAAAAGCAGTTTATTAGATTTGGATTGTAATATTTTTAATTATAAAATTTAATTTAAAACATGAAAGCTCTTTTAATTTATTTATTTGATTTATTTTCCTTTTTATTTTTATTATGATTTCTTTTTTTTTTTTCATCCTTTGTTAATTTTATTAATTATTAATTAATCTTATTATTTCATAATTTTTCTTCTAATTAACTAGAGCCAAATTCCTATTTAATTTATAAAAGGCGAAATGTAATATATTTTAATAACATAATAAATAAAGCTAAATAAGCTTAAAACAGCTTTATTTTTGAGTTTTTAGAAAGCTTTAAATACACAAAATGTAAAATTTGAAATAATATATACAGTATATTCTTATAACATACCACTTTTTTTTTGAAAAATTTTATGAACTCAAAAATCTCAACCCCCTTTTTTATTTATTTATATTTATTTATTATTTTTGTTGATTTGAACAATTTGAGCCTATTATATCTTTTGAATAAAAAGCATTAAAAAAAAAAATATTTTTTTGAAGAGATAATTTTTATTATTAATTTAATTTTGCTTATTAAAGCTAATTTTTGGTTTATTAGTAAATCTAGCATTTCATAAATTGGTGTAATTGCCTTAGGTTCTGCTTTAATTATAAAAACTAATTAAAAACAACAAAGCTCTTTTTTCTTTTACTTTTTATTGTGCTTGCTTTTTTTTTGTTCTTTATTTGATAATTTAACTCATAATTTTATTTTCAACTTTTGCTTATTATTTCATAATAATTTTTCTTCATTTTTACCTTCTAATTAACTATTTAATGATATATTTTTTCTTCAATATTTAAAAAGATACAAATAAATTCGTGATGAAGGCGCAACAGGCTTAGGTTCTGGTTTAGCAAACTGCATTAATCTCTCAAATTTGAAACTTGAACTTAGGTAAAAACAGTTTATTTGTTTTGGATTGTGATATTTTTAATTATAAAAACTAATTAAAAACAACAAAGCTCTTTTTTTCTTTATCTTTTTATTTTACTTGCTTTTTTTTTGTACTTTATTTGTTAATTTAACTCATTATTTTATTTTTAACTTTTGCTTTTATTTTAATTAATCTTATTATTTCATATTTTTTCTTTATTTTTTTCCATCTAATTAACTATTTAATTTTTTATTTTTTCATCAATATTTAAAAAGGAATAATGAAATTGGTCCAATGGGTGCATCAGGCATAGGTTCTGGTTTAGCAAATTGCATTAATCTCTTAAATTTGTCTCTTGAGCTTCAGTAAAAACAGTTTATTTGTTTTGGATTGTGATATTTTTAATTATAAAAATTAATTAAAAACAATGGAGCTCTTTTTTCTTTTTCTTTTTATTACGCTTGCTTTTTTTTGTTCTTTCTTTGTTAATTTAACTCATCATTTTATTTTCAACTTTTGCTTTTATTATTAATTAATTAATCTTATTATTTCATATTTTTTCTTCATTTTTTCCTTCTAATTAACTATTTAATCATATATTTTTTCTTCAATATTTAAAAAGTGCAAATTAAATTGGTGATGAAGGTGCATCAGGCTTAGGTTCTGATTTAGCAAATTGCATTAATCTCTCAAATTTAACACTTAAGCTTAGGTAAAAACAGTTTATTTGTTTTGGATTGTGAAAAATTTTTAATTATTAAAAGTAATTAAAAACAAAAAAGCTCTTTTTTCTTTTTCTTTTTGTTGTACTTGCTTTTTTTTATGTTCTTTATTTATTAATTTAACTTATCATTTTATTTTCAACTTTTGCTTTTATTATTAATTAATCCTATTATTATTTCATATTTTTTCTTCATTTTTTCCTTCTAATTAACTATTTAATCTTATATTTTTTCTTCGATATTTAAAAAGTGACAATTAAATTGGTGATGAAGGTGCATCAGGGTTAGGTTCTGGTTTAGCAAATTGTATTAATCTCTCAAATTTGACACTTGAGCTTAGGTAAAAATAGTTTATTTGTTTTAGATTGTGATATTTTTAATTATAAAAACTAATTAAAAACAATAGAGCTCTTTTTTCTTTTTCTTTTTATTGTGCTTGATTTTTTTTTGTTCTTTCTTTGTTAATTTAACTCATCATTTTATTTTCAACTTTTGCTTTTATTATCAATTAATTAATCTTATTTATTTCTTCATTTTTTCCTTCTAATTAACTATTTAATCATATATTTTTTCTTCTATATTTAAAAAGATACAATAAAATTGGTGCAATGGGTGCATCAGATTTAGGTTCTGCTTTAGCAAATTGTATTAATCTCTCAAATTTGAGGCTTAACATTTCGTAAAAATAGTTTATTTGTTTTGGATTGTGATATTATTAATTATAAAAAATAATTAAAAAAAAAAAAGCTCTTTTTTCTTTGTCTTTTTATTTTACTTGCCTTTTATTTGTTCTTTCTTTATTAATTTAACTCATTATTTTATTTTCAACTTTTGCTTTTATTATCAATTAATTAATCATTATTTTTAATTTTTTCTTTCTAATTAACTATTTAATCATATATTTTTTCTTCTATATTTAAAAAGATACAATAAAATTGGTGCAATGGGTGCATCAGGTTTAGGTTCTGCTTTAGCAAATTGTATTAATCTCTCAAATTTGAGGCTTGACATTTCGTAAAAACAGTTTATTTGTTTTGGATTTTGATATTTTTAATTATAAAAACTTATTAAAAACAATAAAGCTCTTTTTTCTTTTTCTTTCTTTATTAATTTAACTCATCATTTTATTATCAACTTTTGCTTTTATTATCAATTAATTAATCTTATTTATTATTTCATATTATTTCTTAATTTTTTCCTTCTAATTAACTATTTAATCATATATTTTTTCTTCTATATTTAAAAAGAATGAATAAAATTGGTTCAATGGCTGCATCAGGTTTAGGTTCTAGTTTAGCAAATTGTATTAATCTCTCAAATTTGATGCTTGACATTTCGTAAAAACAGTGTATTTGTTTTGGATTGTGATATTTTTAATTATCAAAACTTATTAAAAACAATAAAGCTCTTTTTTCTTTTTCTTTTTATTGTGCTTGCTTGCTTTTTTTTATTCTTTCTTTGTTAATTTAACTCATCATTTTATTTTCAACTTTTGCATTTAATATTAATTAATCTTCATTTTTTCTTTCTAATTAAATATTTAATGATATATTTTTACTTCAATAATTAAAAAGCGACAATTAAATTAATGCAATGGGTTCATCAGGCTTAGGTTCTGCTTTAGTAAATTGCATTAATCTCTCAAATTTGACACTTAAGCTTAGGTAAAAACAGTTTATTTATTTTCGATTGTGAAAAATTTTTAATTATAAAAACTAATTAAATACAATAGAGCTCTTTTTTCTTTTTCTTTTTATAGTGCTTGGTTTTTTTTGTTCTTTCTTTGTTAATTTAACTCATCATTTTATTTTCAACTTTTGTTTTTATTATTAATTAATCCTATTATTATTTCATATTTTTTCTTCATTTTTTCCTTCTAATTAAATATTTAATCATATATTTTTTCTTCGATATTTAAAAAGTGACAATTAAATTGATGATGAAGGTGCATCAGGGTTTAGGTTCTGGTTTAGCAAATTGCATTAATCTTTCAAATTTGAAACTTGAACTTAGGTAAAAACAGTTTATTTGTTTTGGATTGTGATATTTTTAATTATAAAAACTAATTAAAAACAACAAAGCTCTTTTTTTCTTTATCTTTTTATTTTACTTGCTTTTTTTTGTTCTTTCTTTGTTAATTTAACTCATCATTTTATTTTCAAATTTTGCTTTTATTACGAATTAATCTTATTATTTCATATTTTTTCTTCATTTTTTCCTTCTAATTAACTATTTAATGATATATTTTTTCTTCAATATTTAAAAAGTTCCAATTAATTTGGCGCAATTGGTGCATCAGGCTTAGGTACTGCTTTAGCAAATTGCATTAATCTCTAAAATTTGACACTTCAGCTTGAGTAAAAATAGTTTATTTGTTTTGGGTTGTGATATTTTTAATTATAAAAACTAATTAAAAAAAACAAAGCTCTTTTTTCTTTTTCTTATTACTTGATTGCTTTTTTTTGTTCTTTCTTTGTTAATTTAATTCATCATTCTATATTCAACTTTTGCTTTTATTATTAATTAATTAATCTTATTATTTCATATTTTTTCTTCATTTTTTCCTTCTAATTAACTATTTAATGATATATTTTTTCTTCAATATTTAAAAAGATACAATTAAATTGGTGATGAAGGTGCATCAGGCTTAGGTTCTGCTTTAGCAAATTGCATTAATCTCTCAAATTTGACACTTGTGCTTAAGTAAAAACAGTTTATTTATTTTGGAGTGTGATATTTTAAACAAAAAAAAGAATATAAAACAAAAAAGCTCTTTGAATTTATTTGATAACTTATGTTTGATTTATTTTTTTATCTTTTTTATTCCACTAATGTTATTTTATTTATTAATTTAAGAAATAATTTTTAATTTAAAAGTTTATTCTATTTTGATATTTATTTAAAATTTACACAAATTTATTAAAAATTTGTAGCTAAATGAATAAATCATAACAATTCTAATTAATAAGCAAGTGTCTTAAATCAAAAAGATTAGTTGTCTTTGAAAAATATTTGTACAAGTGATAAACAAATGGCGAAAAAAGGATGAATAAATATTAAATGTTTGAATAATTGAATATTTTTTGTTTTTTTATAAAATAATAATTTGAAAAAGTTTTTTAAGCCTAAAATATAAATAGATTGATATATAGATTTTATTATTGATTTTATATTAAAAAATGTCATTCATATTTTTGTAAGTAATTAATTATTTATAAAAAATAAAAAAATTAAAAAATTAAATTTGCTTAAATAAATTAATTCCTCTTAAGCAAACCCTCCGATTTATCCAAAAACGATAAAATAATTTGAAACTTTTAATGTTATATTATATCTTATTAGATTATATAAATGTCAATCTTTTATATGCCAGTTATATTTTAATCTTAAATATTATCGATCAATCATATTTTTATCCTTATTTTATTTATCATGATTAATTAGATACCATGATTTAAATAAAACCTCAGGGAGAAATCAAATTTTACTTTTTATTTTAACTTTTGTGGTTATAAAGAATAATTTTATATGAAATTATTAAATATTAATTTAAATAAGAAATAAAATAGATTATATAATTATTAAATAATAAATCTTGAATTTCTAGTTGGTCACTATAATAATAGAGATACAATTCTTCTTATATATATTTCGTTTTACACTTTATTTATATATTATATATTTAATTAATATATTCATTCTATTTTTCATCGCTTATTATAGATCACAAATCTGTTTTTAAGATAACCAATCTTTTTGTTTTAAGATAGTTTCTCATAATTTCTAATTTTTTTGCTTGATGTATAGAATTAATCCTATAAATAAATTTATGAAAATTACGAAAAATAAATTAAAAAAGAAGTTTAAAATTCAAATTAATCAGTTAAATTAAGATAAATAAATTAAATATCTCAAAAAATAAAACTTCTTATAAATATAAAAGTCAAAAAACAGATCAATTTTTAAAAAAATAAAACAAATAAAAAGTTATTTTATTTAAAACCTTTAATTTATTTTAATATTATAAAATATAAAGGTATTAAATCATTAAAATGTTATTACCTTATATTAAGTATCAAATTTTTGAGATTAATGCACTCTGATAAAGTATAACCTAATTATTATACACCCTATACCCCAATTTTGTTACGACTTTTATAATAAAATAAAATTATTTTGAAAAAAGCATATCAAAAAAAAATTAATAAATATCCAAAGCAAAGTTTGTAAATTAAAAAAATTAGTCAAATAAAAAGCTAATAAACCAATTAATCTATTTTTTATAGCTTAATATTAAATTTTATAAAAAAATAAAAAGTTAAAAGCGAACATAGTTTATACTTGAGATCAAGTGTCAAATTTGCGAGATTAGTCAAACTTGCAAAAGCAGTACCTAAACCTAACATACTCTCATTCTAAATATAATTGTTGCTATATAAATATTGAGGAAATTGTAATTAGTAAGAAATAAAAAAATAAGAGATTGATAAAGAAAATCAATAAAAAAAATTGTAATAATATTATTTATTATAATAATTTTTACACAAAAAGAAGTGCCAAACATGAGATTGTATTACAGTTAGCTAGGAAAGAACAAAAGCTTGATATATCATCAATTTAATTGTGACTTTTTAAATATGTAAAAATATATGATTAAATACAAAAAGTTAATATAAAATATTTAAAAATTAATTAATAATTTAAGCAAAAAAAAGCTAAAATTAAGAAATGTTTTTTAACTAAAATAAAGTTAAAATCAATATTTAAAAATAAAGTAAAATAGTAAAAATAAAATGAATCATCAATTTTATTGTGATTTATTAATTAGAAAGAAAAAATTTCAAACAAATTAATTAATATTAATTTATCATTAATTTAAGCAAAAATTAAAAATGGCAAATAATTTAAATTAAAATAAAATTAAAAACAAGTTTTAAAAAATTATAGTAAAATTCTTAAAAATAAAACTAGTTTTATTGTTTTAAATATATTTATTTTTAAATTATTTCAAATAAAAATCAAATAATTTTTTTTTACCTAAAATCAATGTCTAAATTCTAGAGATTAGCACATTAAGCTAAAGAAGAGCCTAAATCTGATAAACCTTCATCATTAATTCCATTATTACTTTTTAAATATAGAAGTAAATGTAGAGAGTTAGAAAAAAATAAAAAAATATGAAATAATAAGAAATTAATTATAAATGTTAACATTTTAAATTTAAAATGATTTAAATTAGAATAAAATAATAATCACAAGGAAAAGTATAATAAAAAAACTATTTAATTAATTAATAAAATTATTTTATAGCTTTTATTAAGTTAATTTTAATATTAAAAAAATCACAAAATAAAATAAGTAACTAACCTATTTTTACCTAAGATTAAGTGTCAAATTTGAAAGATTAACACAGTTGGTTAGAGAAGAGCCTAAACATGAAACACCTTCATCACAAATTTAATTACCCCTTTTAAATATTAAAGAAAATATAATTAAGTATTATTAATAAAAAATTAATATTGAAAGTATAACTTAAAAATAAAAAAAGTTAATAAGTAATTAGAGTTTTATTGTTTTAAATTAATTTTTATCAAAAACTATTAAAATTAAAAACAAATTAACTTGTTTTACATAAGATTAAGCTTTAATTTTGAAAGATTAGAACATTCTTGTAATTTAGAACCTAAGAACGATGCATCATATGGGCCTATTTCTTTGCCACTATTTATGTATTGAAGATTATCTCATAAATTAAAGATATAGTTTGATCAAAAAATAATATAATAAAAAATTTATTACAACCAAAGCAAATATAAAAGATTAAAAATTTATTTATATATAAATTAATTAATTAGTAAATTTGAATAGATAAAATGAACATAGATAAAATTTAGTTTAAAATAATTATTAATAAACATTATTGAGATTAATAAATAAGTTTTTATGAATAAAAAATTGAATTTACTCTAAATTAATATGGATATCTATATGAAGTTAAAATGATGAGATTAAAAACTATTTATTGATAATAAATTTAAATTAAATTAATAATTAAAATAAGCAATTATTTACATCTTCTAGTTTTCTAAAATATTTTTTCTATTATATCATTTCTTTTTTAATTGTTTGAAATGCAATTAAATTAACTAAAAGAATATTAAGAAATTTATTTAATTAATTTTCACTTTTAGAGAGTACATGATTTGTCTATACTAAAATAAGATTGAAAAAATTAAATACTTTGATCGAAAAATTAATAAATTAGACATCAATTATAATTTATCATATAAAGAATATATTATATGTTTCAAAAAGATTGCTTTGAAATAAAAACCAGAGAAAATATTGGGTATTAGGAAAAATTAAAAATATTTAATTAAAAAATTTTTATTATACTATTCATTTTAATCTATTTTTATAATAATTATAAAAATAATAAAATTATTTGATGCTTTTCAAAATAGTAGATTGATAAAAAAAATCATCTTATCTATAAGATGAATTTGATTTAAAATTGATTTTTGGTTGGTTATCTGATTTATTCTTAAGTAAAATTAATTCATTATGATTTGCAAATCTTTAGAAAACTTCTTTCTTTTAAGCGATAATTTTTAATTTTAATCAGAAACTTAGAAAAATAAGGTACGATAATTTAATTAAATATTACAAAATAATTAAAAAATTGTTAAAGAGCATTCCTTATTTTTTAATATGAGGTAAAATAGAAAATAAATAGGTTTATTTTTGTTAAAGAATTTTGTATTTTTTTTTCATTTTGAACAGAATAAGTGAATGATAAAATTTATAAATAGATTTAAATTATTTTTAATTTTTTTATATTTTTATATATTATTTATAAAAGTAACATATACCTATAAAATCTAATAAAAATATCATTTTTTTTAAATATAAGTTGTTTTAGTTTCGGGGTCATATTCAAGCTTGTATCCAGAGAAAACTGCTGTACCTATTGGGAAAGTATTTCCAAAAGTCTATTAGGGAATTATTAATACAGTATATTCACCATACTCATCAGCTGGTAAGGTGTATTATTCAGGGGTAATAACAGCTGTATAGATAGATTAATCAGCAGCAAGGAATTGGATTTCGATATTTTTTAACTTACTTATGTCATAAACTTTAAGAAGGTAGTTCTACTTAGGTTTCAATACATAGTCAATACCCGAATAAGCAAAATAATTTACAAGTTCCATGTAGTTAAATAAAGACACCTAGATATTAGGGTCAGTTGAGTTCAAAGAAACAAATTTTCCTTCAAATAAAACCATATCTTTATGGTAGAGAGCTTTTTAAACAATAAGGTTAGAAGTACCTTCCTCATGGCTCAATGCAACTCTTTTAGATACTTTTAAGCTACTTGGTTAGTATTAAGAAAATAAAACAACACTTGTAGCAATTAAAGCAACAACAATCAAGCTTTTTAATTCAACTCTCATTTACTTTTTTATTTTTTCACTAATTTTGATTATCTTCTTTATTAATAATATAAATTTTTTAGTAAATTAAATTCAAATCATGATTTTCAGAAGGTGGTAACTCTTTCACAGTAATTTTTCTTTTATAATCTTTTACTAATTAGACCTTCTTGCTTCAAATTTATTAAATATTTTTTTATGGAATTCAAGTATCCTTAATCTGATCTAATTCTATAGTTTTAGTTTAAGCGAAAAAGTAAAATTATTTATTTCATTAATAATGCTTAAATGTATGATCTTTTTTCTCATCCTCTGTATTTTTAAGGGTATAAGATGAATCCTCTTGAGCTTTGTAAACACTTATTTGTTTTTAATTATTTTTATGAATCCAACAAATCAAAGATAGGTTTTTGATTTGTATTATTAAATTTGTGTGTTTTTAGATTATTACATTTTTCTTATTGATTAGAAATTAAAAGCTGTATCAGAAATCTGATTAATAATAAGCAATTAAATATAATTAGTCTTTTCTATATATACATATAAAATATTAAAGCATCTAGCTTGTATTTAACAGTAAATTTCACAACTAAAAAACTTATTAAATATGTTTTAAATAAAAGCAGCTCTAAAATAATTTAATTAATAATAAACAAGTTTATTAAATTATTTATATTATTTTATCAAATAACCAACAAAGCTTCTAAAGCAGAATATAAAAAAGAAAACATCAGAAAAATAAATAATGTAAAAAAATGTGAATTTTCGCATTTAGTTAGGCAAAAAATTCAATACTCATTTAAAAATTTTCTTTATTATTATGATATAAATTCTGGTTATTTTCTAAATTTTATTATGGTATAGTTTTGAATAAATAGATAATTTAATAAAATTTACACATAAGTATTATGAATATCATAATAATTAGTCACTCAACTCAGTAGATATATATTATCATTTTTAAAAAAAATAGAATTTATTTTGATATAATAATAAAAGATATTTTAAAGAACTTTAGATAATTTTATTGAAGGTAATTTACTGAACTATTTAAATTAATAAAAATAAAATAAAGCAAATTAAAATTAAAAACTATTTTTAGGGATTTTGAAGTTAAATCAGAACAAGATTTTATAATACAAATTAAAATAAAATTTTTTAATAAATCAATCTAATTAATAGTAAATTCAATGAAGTAATTTCAGTATTTAAAAGAATTTAAAATATAGAAGTTCTATATATTTTGAAAATAATGAAATTATGTTAATATTTTAAGTTCTTTAATCATTTAAATTTTAAAAATAAAAAAAAAAAGTAAATTTACTTATAAAATTGAAATTTATTATTAAAAGAATACAAGTATAAAAATATCTAATTAAATTTGAGTACAATTATTTATAGATATGTCATAAATATCATAGGAACTATTAGTTTTAATTTATCATTTGTGGTTAACCAGTTGGTTATATTTAAACCAACATGGAATTAGGAATGTTATATAAATTATTTGATTACTGAGGTTGATATGGATACTAGTTAAATTGATTTTGAGATTAGATATTTGATTTGTCTTGAATACAGTTTGCTTAACTATAGTTTAATTAATTAGGTTACAGTTATACAGGATTCCAGTTTGGAGGTGCTTAGATTTAAAGTTGTGGAGGATTTTATTAGCTATTTTATAGTAAATTTGAGCTAGGATTTATAAAAACTTTTATTTCATGAGGAGAACTATCAGAAACACAACAAATAGTGCTAATTTGAGGAATTAATTATAATTGATAAACTACTTAAACTAATTCACCTTATGATGATAAAGGTATATCAGAAGGGACTTGAAATTGAACTTCTTACTTCATCTTTGATTACTCGACTTTTACTTCAATACTTTTTTCTGCTATGTTGAGGACTTTAGTTTTATCAGCAGTATTAGCCTTCATAGTAAGTTAACCAAGAAGCTTAACAGTCAATTTATTTACTTGTTTGCTGTATTAGCTAAAATCAATATCCATATTCAGATTTATAGTTTCTTGAGGAGAAAAACACCTGCTGCTCGTGGTTATATTATAATTAATTTATCCTGACTTACAACAGCAGCATATCACAGGTTGCTAAATTGATGTGGTATTATTAGATAAATAATAAGTTGATATTTATTATCCTATAAATATTTCTTAGCTCCCTTGTATTGGCTTTACATTAGCCTCTGTTGGAATGATTTGAGCAATTATAGAATATTTTATAGAACATTGGTTATTTGAGTTATAAAAATAATTCATTGAGGAAGGGAGCTTATCAGCAATACATAATTAAAACGGTATAACAACTTAGCATGGATTTATTATGAAGGCTGAACTATTTTAACCTTAAGCGAAATCATAAATAGGCATAGAAAAATTAACTATTTCATTTTAACCCTTAGCAAAAACAGTTCTTCTATGTTTACCCCTTTTAACAGTGTATGTAAACTGAGTTTCCTCTAGACCTTTTAAAGTTACTTAAAGGATATGGCCTTAAAACGGTTCTTCTATATTAATATTCAACTAACCTTATACAACTTCATTACTTATAAAACTGGTTTTTTAAAGTTAGATAAATATACCTCCCTTAACCTATCTTCTATTATCTTTAGGATTACTTTGTCCCATGAGTTATATGAGTTAAGTGATCTAATTATTTTATAATAATTTGCTATTTAATTTTGATTAAATATTATTTAAAATGCTTATGATATTTAAAAATATAAATTGATATTTTTCAATCGAAATTCAAAGTTTTTCTTAATATTTATTTTAATGCAAATCGATAAAATGAGTCAATTTCGATATAAATTAGTTAATTAAATTAGCCAATATGCATTTAGTTCTAAATTATTCTATATTTGGTTTACCACTAAATTCTAAAGTTACTAAATTTAATTTGTATTGGTTCTATTAGATATTATTTAATTTAGTGTAAACTAAATTATCTATATTTTATAAATTTAATATTCTTATCAATCAAGTTAACAGACTTTTTCAAGAGTTACTTTAAAATATAAGCTAATTATATTAAAAATAATTATTATATCTTTTTTAAGCTGTTATTTATAAAACAAAAACATTTATTATGCTTTTGAAGTATTTAAATTTTCAAAACCTAATTTTAGTATTATTTTAAATTCGAAAAACAAAGCGTTCTTCTAAACCAACTTAAATTATATTTTAAATAATAGATAATCAAAATTTATGTAAATCCCCTTTCTTTTTATATTATTTTAGGCATCAAATTAAAACTTGAAATTTAAAAAGATTTTTAGGGAAAGAACGAATCGCTTATCGAAGTATTAATTTTATCAACTATATATTTTTTAAATACTTAAAATAAATAAATTTATTTGGTAGTAAAGAATTATTTCTGTATCAAACATCTAATTAAATTTCGAGCAAAATTATATTTTAATAATTAATTTTTATCTATCTAAACCTTTTATGAATGTAAAATAAACAAAGTTAATCTTTTTTCAATTGATATTTTTTCTAAGCTGCAAATTAATTTACAGTCTTTTAATTGCGGTCTTTTGGATACAGATAAATTTATAAATTTAATAAGCTAAAAATAGTATATTTTTAGTTTATAAATTAAAACATATAAGTAGTAATTTCTGCGTTATTAAAAAGGAAAAATGAGATAAAATATTATAAAACACTTTAACTTACTTAATCTATTTTCATAACTTAATATTATATATTTCCTTTGTTTTAGGTAATGTGGAATCGGATGAATAAAATAAATTATTAGTAATTAATTTGACTTAAAATTATCTACAATTTTATTGATTGACATATGAATAAAACATGTATTATATATATTATTAATTAAATACATTAATTTTAGAAATAGTTAATTTTTATTCATTAATTAATAGTTTAATGATATTTATTTGATTTATATTATTAATTTTTAGAATAATTGTTAATTACAAAAATTTTATATATGAATGAAAGTTTTAAATTTCATTTCATTTGCCATTTAACTTATTATATGCATTTTGTATGTTATAGTAATATGGAGTATGGCTTTCGCTATTTTAGCCATTATTTCCATTATATTATGAATTACTTCTACTTTCACTCAAGTGTCTAATATTATCTGTTTAATTCCTAGATCCTGCCTCACTTGTCATTCGGTAGTTATGGCTCGTGATTATGATAGGGTGTTATTATTAAATATAATTAAAGTTTGGCTAATTAATTGAAACCATACTATTTGTATTAGAATGAGGGTAGTTTCCTCTCAAGTTTTGTTATTAATTGCTTGTTTAGCCAAGAATTACATCACTTTTTCTTGATTGCTAAATATGAGGAGGAAGACTTGCATCATTTGTTTACAGTTTTTTCAAGTTATTTAAATTAGCAATAGCCATTAGGCGTTCATCGTGCTCGTTAGTAGCATCATAATAGCTAGGAGCTTAGCTTAGAGCTTTCTTCAGTATCTAAGATTTTTACTCTTCAACTTCGTCTTCAACAATATCTTCATCATATCTCTGATTCAATACATTAAAGTCACTAGGAGATATTTCATTAAAATCAATTTAAGCTTCACTTGCAGTCTTAATTGATTCTTAAGAATCATAAATCTATTTTTATAATTTCAATATTAAAAAAGTAAATATAATAGCAAAAAAAAATTATTGAAAAGAAAATTATCTTTTACATCATCCACATTTCTTCTTTTTTTAATTTGGTCTTTTATCATCGGATTCTCTTGATAGTATTAATTGGCAATACGGCTGTTTGTAGGAGAGGGTTTACTGATGGTGTTATTTTTATTAAGGGTGTATTCTTCGTACTCTTTAGCGCTTAGGCCAAAGAAATTATTACTTAAATCTCCTGTTGAAGGATTACCTAAATTAAATGCTTATGGTACTTTATAGGTATTACTAATTGGAGAGATTGTAGAATTATCTTTGAGTATTTAAGGAATGTTAGGGCTTGGTTACTAGTTACCCATAACATTCATACTAGTTTGATGTGAGTATAATCCGCCTCCATTAAAATCGTCTAAGTTAACAGGTTGAATGTCAAGATTCTCTGTTTTTGCAGCAGAAAAATCAGTTGGTTTATTAAGACTTTCATTATGATTTGTTGATCTATGATGTTTATATGCGTCTTGCATGTTATAAAAAGGTTACTGTAGTGAGTTACGAACGTTATTTTATTTGCTTGCTTTGTTTTCATTGTTAGAAGGGCTAAGTGTTTTTGATTACTCATGAGGTATAATTTATTAAGCATTTGATTTAAATTAGTTTGATTATCTAATATTTTCTTTTGATTGATTCTATGCGCTAGGCTTGTGCTAAGGTTCTTCTTAAAATTACTCTGCATTTACTATTTATGATAATTTTTATCTCTATCTTAAAAATTCGGAATCCAATTCTTTAGATTTTTGGATTAAATTATCATCTGTCTACGTATCAACCATTTAATTTCCTTATTGAGACTCTCTCAATGGTTAGTTATTGTTGCCCTTATTAACAAATTCCATTTTCTGAAGGTCTCTAGGATTAATCATGGTTGTCATAGGCGTTACAACTCTAACTTAATTTAAAGCCATCTAACCTGCTTCATCTGCTTGATTCTATGTATTAATATTCTCATTTGAATTCTTACTTTGTCTTATTAGTAATTGCCTAACCTTTTATTCCTAATCATTATTGTTTTGTGAATTAGGCTCAAATTTATTATTCTAACTATAATCTATGCTTCTTTTCTTATTCATATTTTTTATTAAGTTTTCTTCATCATCAGAGTCGCTTTATTAATTTTAATTGTCACTGGCTATACTAGTTTTCATGGGATTCAAAGGAGGTTTTATATTATTAGCATTGTTGTTTTTTGTTTCAGATTGTTCTATAGAAGATCTCATAGAGGTTTTAATATTCTTCTGACTTCCTTGCTACTGCTAAGATTGTTAGCTAATGGCAGGATCTTTAACTGCTTATCCTCTTTACTGTGCAATTGGAGAGCTATTTGAGTGGATAGTCTCGCCATGAATAATAGGAGGAGCAATCATTCTATGCTGGTTTATGACAGGAGGTTAGTCACTACTTTCATCTAATCTTTAAGATTCTATATTCTAAGCATCACTTTGTAAATCTTCATCAGTTTCATATGGCTTCTTAATGAATTTCTTATGATCAATAGCTTATTAAGAAACTCTGTTTGATGGATACTTCATTTTTTTCATTTTTTCTGATGCTTATGCTTTCAAACCATAAGGATCATATTCGTTTGCATCTAAATCTTCAATTTATGGTTACATTCTCTCAACTCTTTTGCTGTCTTAAGGATCTTCTACCTTCTATTTATCTTTTTCTTTATCTGTGCTAATTTTTCTTACTAACATAGATTATTTTAATTCCTATTATTGTTAATCTGATACTTCCTACTCATTAGTATTTACTCTTCTGTTATTTTCTAATGGAGTATCTACTGGCCTTTACATGGGATTTTATAAATAAAATAATAATTAATTTGGTCTTGATCTACTGTTTGGGTAGTTATGATCATCATTTTGATCAGAGTCTTCGGAACCTACTTTTTCAATCATCTAACTATTTTGCTTAATGCTTGGTCCTCTAAGTAAGTCGATTTCATCAGTGTTTATTTTAGAATTCATACGGTTTTGATCATCATAAGCGTTGTAAGAGCTCTTACCAGGAGAGCTCTCTGGGCTAATAACTTCTCCATTGAATTTCTAAATATGATTAGGGTTTTTTGTATGATATCTACCATTATTTAATCTGTCTATATTTCCTTCTAAGTATTCAGGATGCTCATTTTCATCATAATAATCCAACTAATCCTTGGATTTTGATCTCATATTATTTATTTTCTAAGTTTAAAAATTATTATTTTTAAATTAATAACATTTTTATTATATTTTGAATATTTTACTTTGTAGTATTCTTAGTCAAGCTCATTCGGAGGACGCTAAGGCGAAGCGCTTCTTGATCTGCTTCTTGCGCTTACATGACTTTAGAAGTTAATTTCTTTGGTATTTTACATTGTGCGAACAGGTGACATATAGCTTTACTCTTTTGTAGATCTATTAGCCAGTTTTTTATCATAAACTGCAGATTTTTAATAATTTGAAGGATAAATACTACTTTCTAGAAGCTCCTATTCATTTACACCTATACTCACACTTCTTTTTGGAGTAATTTTTGCAGAATTTTATGAGTAGTGTCTCTGCTAATAGACAATGTGTGGAGATTAGGTTTAAAGATGGTTGCTAGTAGTCATTTAATTCTAGCTTTACATCATCGTATTTTATCTAGTGGGAGTCATTACTTTACTACCACCATTATTTTACCTCATGGGTACTTTCTTTTCTGTTTTAGTATTATCCATTATATAAGAAGGAGGACGAGATGAATTTAATGGCTTATTGATGTTGCTTTACTAGTTTTAATATAATCCTTAGCCTTAATATCCAACATTTTGAGAGATTCTACTACCCTAAATAGACCTAGCACTCCTCATTGTCTGGTATTAATTATTCTATCCACTATAATTCTAGTTCATTAAATCTACTCTCCTCATATTCATATCATCTCCCGTCATTTACAATTTAGTATGTAAATTATCATCACCAAAGTCATCATCATCTTCTAATTGCTCTTATATTGGCTATTATGCCAAAGCTCCCATTTTAGGAATACTTTTTGATTCGTAAAGTCTTCTTCCTTTTGAGCATTATTCTCCCAACTCTTAAGTTTGATGAATGCTGTTTGGATTTGCAAAATATAAATCAGTATTTGTGCCATTTCCATAAATTGAACCTTATACTAATTATTTGAAATAAGATTAAAAATTTTTAGAATTAAAATATTTTATATTTACTAGACGAGTCTTGGTTTTTATATAAATTTTTATTTGCTCCATTTTAATTGATAAAATCAATTGATTGGTCATGAGCTGTTATCTCATTTTTACCATTTATATAAGATAAATTCATATTATTAGCGTTTGGTCCATTAGTCATATTAGCTGCTTAATGCATAGTTTAGTTATTCAATTTATAGCCAAAAGTTAAAGGTTTTTCAAGATCGCCAATAACAGTGACTCTGTTAGTAAACTTAAACTCACCTCTGTCAGATTCAGCTCCTCCAGACATTCCGAAATTAGTTTTAGTGAAGGAAGCCATTAGCTTACTATTATAGGGGAGGTTATCTCTATGGGAAATATTTGCAACAAGAGGATTGATTCCATCAGCTACTTTAGTTATAAAGTAATCTTCAGGCTTCTTTGTATTTGTAATCATAAACCCTATCAAAATAAGATTGATTAAGATAACTTCTAAACCTTCGATAAACATTTATTCAAATTAGTCGTCATAGTAAATGGTAGCTGAAGCAGCAATAATCATGGGGGCATTAACAAATAAAATTGAAAGACCTGCAACAATATTGTATGGAAGTAACTAATGTACTGAAGTCAGTTTAGCACTGAAGAAAGAAAACCCAAAGAACTTAGAGAACATAAAATTTTCAAATTTATGAGTAAAAGTTAATGAGAAGAATCTTATAAAACCGTGGCAAATCTTATTCTAAAATTATGATAGCCAATAAATAAAATGGGAATCTCTGCGCATGTAAATAAAGTAAAAGGCTAAATTAATTATGTTAAATAAGAAATGAAGTATGAGAGATGCTAAAAATAATTTATTTTAAGGTGTCTTCATACTATCATTAATAGTTTGAAGAATAAAAAATGTCACCCAAGTTGCAAATTCTATAACACCACCTATTCCAACTACACAACCAGATAAAAATGTTTAATGAGCTCTGTTTCTTGAGCACAGAGCAATAGCAATCCATATAATAAGAGAAATCAAATATGGAAAAGGAACAAATTTATGTTAATCTAAATTTCTTGTAATAATTGTACTAATGTCTTGTAAAACACATTTTGTAGCAGTTGAATCTGGTTGATAGTTTACAGGGCATGACGCTATACATTAATTCTTAAATAATAAATTAGACCCCACACAAGTTAGACAAACATCTAAGCTAGAACATGTAGCACAATTAGAAGGGCAAGAAGTGCATTAACCATCAATATTCAAAGGTACGTTTGAAGGACATGTACTATAACACTTATTTTGATAAAATCCTGCTGTTGATATACAGCTTTAGCAGTTTCTTGATTGATCAGTACAAGTTGTGCATAATCCATCACATTACTAGCATTTATTACCACCATCGCTATAGTAACCAGGATTACATTTAGCTTAGCACTAGGTTCCTTTATTTAAGTAAATAGATATTTAGTAAAATAAAAAAAATATTTTTATTAAAAGATTAGAAATATTTATTTAAAAATTTTTTCATATTTTTTGTTTTTAAAGCAAATAATAATCTGAAAAAACAAATATTAAAATATTCTTTATTGTAGAAAAATATATCTCAATTAATTAATTACCTTATAAATAAATTTTGGGTTAACCTGTTAAGCAAGAAGTACAACTATTATAAGTAGTTTAGCATGTAGCACATGGTGATTCACATTAAACACATTAATTAGCTTTTGTATAAAGCCCTAATAAATTACAACCTGCCTAATCAACACACTTATTCTATCCAACAACAAAATAATAATTACTATTACAGCTTTAACAAGTCTGTGAATCTATATTAAAAAAATTTCAGTAAATAATTTATTAAATAATAGTTTAAAAATACCTGTGCAAGTATAGCATTTTGAGTCACAAGGAAGGCATTATTGTTGATACTGATAATATGATTGTAGAGATCCACAGCTTTATACGCATTAATTACTAGCAGGGACAAATAAATACCCTGTCTAACAAGTTAAACAAAAAGTATCAGAATTACATGTAGCACAATTATTAGTACATTTAATACAAGATTAACCCTATTTATAAAATATTAATTTTAATATCTTCACTAATTAGCTATTAAATCAAATTACTTATTTGTAATATCCTGGATCGCACTAAAGTACACATGAATTTGCTTGCAAAAATCTATCGTTATAGCACGTTAAGCATTTAGTATTAACAATGCTATCACAAGTTCTACAGCTAATGTCACACTTTCATTTGTATAAATTTATAAATAAAAAAATTAATAAAGAAAACTAACAAAATTACATTAAAGACAAAGCGGATATCCTTTCTGCTTGCATCAATTAAACTTTAGGATATTCCATAACCGTCTTTATCATTAATTTAAATCATAAACTAGTCAGATTATTACACATATGGTCCTGGATTGTAAATATTGGATATTTGGATCGTGTTTATACCTTATGCAGTTGAAATTAATTAAATGTTATAACCTGTAATACTTTAAATGGTACATTAACCAGTTACTCTAGCTTACTGTAATTATGCCTAATTGAACTGTTGAGGGAAACTAATTATAATTTGGGCATTGTTTGGTATAACAAATTGAGGAGTAGTAGTCTTTAAAGTAATTATATAAGTTACAACTACATCACTAACAAATAAATTAGGAATAGCTGTAAAATCAAATGAGCTTTAAATTGTATTAGCATGATTGACTTGAGTTTAATATATTTGATTTTAAGTAACAGATTCTGTAACTAAAACGCTAAATGTAACTGGTGCTATACCTATATTGATATGAATTTCAAAATGAATTAGAAATTTTTTATAAATATAATTTTACTAATATAGTTAGTTAAAACCATCTTAAAATTTATATTTCCATTTGAAGGTGTTTATATGGTAGTATATTATCTTTAAGAGTTGTTTGGATCTTGAATGCACGCAGAAATTGTTGTAGAGCCAGAAGAACATGAAATTACTGCAAGAGGCACTCCTTAAAAAGTTGGTAGAGTTATATAAACATAAAACCCTGAGAGCATTTATATTTATGAGGGATTACTGATAGTAAATGTGTATGTGGAAGGAGTGTAAGAGTTTTGTTAATTATCTGAACTAATACTTAAGCTTGAACTAGTAGCATCTACATTTGCAACAGAATAAAGTCCTGTTGATGGGGAAGAGGTTGCTATTAAATTTCTTGATTTTATATGTTTAAAAATAAAATAAATTTCAAAAAAAATCAAAATTTAAAAATAAAATCATAAATGGATGAATACTTACCCACTACCATCTGTAATTCTTAAAGAGATTGTATATTATTTTTTAGTTTGTGCAGGATTTAAAATATTTCCTTGTATGCTGAAAGATACAGTTCCAGTTGGAGTGTATAATGTCGTCATTACAATATTACCATTTAAATAATCCCAATTTGTTTGAGTAAGTTACTGGTTAGTTCCAGTCCAAATAGCTTAAAAAGGTGTAGGATTATTTTACATTAAGAATGAATTTGATGGAAAAGATAGTGTGTAAATAGCACCAGCTACAATAGTAAATTAACTAAATGTAAAAGAAACAGTTAATGTTCCCACATTTTATCTAACAATAGAGTTGGAAGCACTTATTCCCAAAGTTGTTATAGATACAGGAGTATAGCTACTAAATAATGTAGCTGCAGTAATACCTAATTATGTATTTTGTACTAACTAATTATTGCCATAATAGGTATTAATTATAAAATTGTTGGTTTAAGCAGGAGTAACAACACTTAAAGGGTTAAGAACGTTAGAAATAACAACACTTATTGTCATTTAATTAGTTGAGGAGACACTCGTAAAATCTGTTTAAAAAATGCTACCCAAAGTTATAACTTTATTATTTTGAGTAATCACACAAGTTGCAGAAGGATTACAACCTCTGCTACAAGAAACAGTGCAAGTAGAGCCAGTCAGAGAAATAACTGAATTTTGGCTGTAGTCAATAGTGATAATTGCGTTTGAGCTCAAAGGATCACTTATGTCGAAAGAAAATGTGTAACTACCCTAAGCTCCAACCTATGAGGTAGCAGTTGTTAAAGCTTGTCTAGCAATAGGATCAGGAGCTAAATTAAAATTGCTAAATGTTTAACTTCCTTAGTCAATAAGAATGGTAGTTGATTTATAAGTACGGGCTGCTACTTGAGCACTATAATTTACATAAGGTCCTGCCTAGACTTTCGGAATTTAAAGTGTACAAGACTATGTAGCTAGACTGCTTTAATATGCTTAAAATATTGACCCTTTGATTTAAATTAAACATATTTTTCAAAATAAAATTAAAAAAATTAACTATAAAATCAGCAAAACAAATTTAATAAATTATATGAATTTTTAATCAAATCCAACGGCAATAAAAAAATATACCAAATTAATTTAATTCAAATTTTAAATTGTAATTTTATGTTTAAATTATAGGTTTAAATAGTATTTTGAAACAAAAAATTTCATTAATTAAAAAAAATTATTTTAAATGAAAATATCCAAATTTTACATAAATTGGTTAGATATATTTAAATTTGTTATTTTATTCTATTAGTAATGTATTAATGATAGAGATAATAAACACATTTTTAATCCAAATAATGAAATGCTCAATTTAAAATTATGATATTTTACCAGCTTAGAACTTGATTCTGTAAGAAGATGAACTAGGGATTGCTGTAATGGTATAGGAAGAAGCAGGAATAGATGTGTTACATATGCCACTTCCGACTATAACAGAGTTACTTGAAAGAGTTGTTGCTAAATTGAAAGGAAGATCTAATTCCATCGAATAGTTTGTATTTGTTACAGGAGTACTAAGATTTATCTATACATTAAGAGTTTAACTGCTAGCTATTTAATTTACAATAATACTAGCAGAAAATGATCCTGAAACAACGCTTAATGTATTTGGTGTAGAAAGAGCATTTATTTAAGTGCTCAATTAATTATACATATAACTTGTCTATGTTGAATCAGTTACTGAAATTTAAAAATTATTAACATAGCTGTCTAGTGATGGAGGTGCTCTAACTCCTTTTATAATTATATCAAAATTAGTATTTGCAGCTATAGCTGTTATAACTGTCATAGTTATCTTAGAATTACTACCAGTAGAGCTTGAAATGCAACTAGAATTTATAAAACCTGTCTAATTTATATTAATTTTATTTTATAATTTGAAAAAAATTAGCATTAATATTATTATTTAAAGTAGTAATTCTTTATTATTTCTATTATAAATATTTTTACCAAGACACAAGAAAGAGTTGCTATTGTTGGGTCAATAACAGAGCAGCAAAAATTCTCCCAATTAGTAGGAAAAGTGATCGATATCAAAGAGTTTTCTGGTATTGCTAATACTGAATTAATTGTTAGCGTCAGGCCAGGTGAATAAACCATTCCTAAGGTAGACTTAATTGAAAAAGTTGCTATTTTTATAAATTTTTATTTAATCTAACATTAATCTACAAACTTTCTTCGCACTATAGCAACAATAAAAAAAGATAATATTTAAGTAAAATATCAATTACTAATTGAAGGAAGTGGTTAAATTGCAACAGTACGAGTATTAAGAAATCCATAAAAATCATGATCTTATTTATAAGCAATTCCTTATGCATTTGTTGTTTGCAATTAAAAGTTATAATTCCCAGAGTAATTAGGATTTATTAAGCTTTTAATAGTTAGAATATCTGCACCTAAAGTAAATGGTGCTGAAGAAACTCCATTAAAGCAGAATATCATTGAAGTTGCAGACTGAGCAGTTGCACTTGATTAAGTAAATCCATAATTTTGCTTTTTTTTTATAGTATAATTTAACTCTATATTTTGAAAACTTAATGAATAAATTTACAAATGAAAGGATGGGGTTGGCAACAAATTAGAATGTTGATGGACTTAATACAATTTATATACAAAATGGATTTGCATTTAGATCATGTGGATTATCTACGTAGAATTAATTGATTGGAATGTTAATATTATTAACACCACCAACCAATTAATTAGTATATGTGTTTGGAGCACCAAATAAAATAGATGCTCTTGAATAGCTGATTGCAATAATTATAAATACTAAATATATTGACTAATTTCTATGCGTCGTCATATTTGGATCCTTGAATTATAATATTTTTTACTTTTTTTGCTTGTTTTTTGCAATTTTTAAACTTCCTGCTCTAACTAAATCTCTAACTCCTTTATATAAATGTGCTTGCTTGCTTGTTTGTTAGAAAAAGACTAACTAAATTTGATTTGTATTTGTCTTATGATAACAATGTTAGCTAATAAATTAATTAATTTGTTAAACAAAATGTTTATTTTTTTTGGATATATTCAAATTAAAAACCAACAATATTTCTTGAAATGTAAATTTCCCCTTTAAATAACAAATTTACATGTAAATTTTGATTTTGATTTAAATATTTTTGATATTATACAAACTAAATGAACTATTTACTTATTATTTGATCTTATTTCACCATATATTAATATCCTCATTCACCAAATTCATTTGGTTGCATTTAATTACTATCATTCTTTATCTTAACAGCTTTTTTTGTTTTAACCATCCAAATCTATATTACTTAGATATTTAATTTTTTTTACAAGCTATCTATCACATGATTTCAATTTATTAATTAATTAAAAATAGTTATATATATTTTCTATTTTACTAAAGCTAATATAGTTAATCTATTTATGTGTATAAATATTTTAGTTTTGTTTATATAAATTTTTTACTTTAATTTTAAATATAATTTCCATTCAAATCAATTAGCATACATTATTAATAATTTATTAACATTTTTGATATACTGAGTTAAATTTGTTATCAAAAGCAATTAATTCTAAAATAATATTTAAAAAATTAAGTAAACTCACTGCAAAAATTAAAAGATATATATTTCAAAAGGAAAAAGCTTATATCAACTTTTATTACCATAATTTCCTGCTTAACAAGTCCCACTAAAAACCTAAGAATCATTCAAATAATTTTAATTTTTGAATAAAATTTTTAATTTTTATGGATAGATTTTTTTTAGTTTAATCATAATATCAACATATATATTTCTTAAATATAAAAAATCTCTTAATTGATATATAATGTAAATCTAAATTTTACTAATTAAATTTCTTTTTATGAGATTGAAATAAAAATAAATAAATAAATAAATAAATATCAAGCAATTATTTTTTTCATACTAATCTTTGTGCTTTAATAATTTTAGTTTTAAATTTAAACTTAGATCTATAATTATGATAATTACCACTTAATTAAGTAATAAAATAATAAATACAACTTATAAAAAAGAGAAAATATATAAATTGTTTGAAATTTTTTTTAGAATTAAAATATATTTGTTAATATTAAATGTATATAGTAATAATAAATATATTTTAGATGATTTTTGTTTTATCCTTAACATTATTTTCCTACTAGTGTGGTTTTTATTAAATAATTTATAAAGTCAAATTAAAAATAAATAAGAGCACAATTTGATAAACTATTGACTATTTATAATTCACCATCAGCACTGATTTCATTCCATCTTGTTAAAATTTAACATTTAAAATTATTTAAATTAAGAAACAAATTTTAAAAATTATTTTTACTTAATAAAAAGTACCAAATTTTAGAGATTACAACAATATTCAAATGAAGTACCTAAGTTAATAGCTCCTACATCACCTATTAATCATTATTGATACGTAAATCATTTGTAAAACACGAAATTCACTTAATTCACGTAATTGATTTGTTATTTATTCGTAAATAATATTTAAAACATATAAAAAATAAAAAAAAACACCTAATAAATACATAATAATATAAAGAAAAATATATATATAAATTATAATGAAAAAAAATAAATAAATAAAATTAATTTTAAGATGTATTCTGAGTGAATTTATATATGCGAGTATTTCTATTCTATTCTTTTATCACCAATTAAATTATGACTTTAAATTATATTACAAAAATTAGTTTTATCAATTGTTTTAAATAAAAAATAAATATTAACTAATATAATATTTTTTTAAGCAATAGTTAAATAAATAAGAAATATAAATAAAAAGTATTTTACCTAAGGTAGTATGTCAATTTTTGTAGATTAATACACTTTTCTAAAGAAGAACCCAATATGTTGTACCTTTATCACCAATACAATTAGTGCTTTTAAATTTAATCATAAATATAAATTTAAATGTCAAAAATAAAAGCTTAACAAGAGGAACAATTAATCAATCAGACAAATAATACTAATAATTTTATATTTAAAAATGAAAATAAAATAACAAAGACATAAATAAATATTAAATATTTATTACAAGAGGTAGAGTTCTAATGAAGATAATTGTGTGCACTTTTCTAAAGCACACCCTAAATCAAATACAAGCTCTTATTAATTAGATATTATGAAAATTATTTAAAGAAAACCCTAAAATTAAAAGAAAGTAAAAAAGATAAAAGCGAAGGAATATGGATAAACATTCAACAATATAGGAATTTTGTAAAATTCACAAAAATAAATAAATAATCTATCTCAAAATTGACCACTAAAAAGCTTGCCTTATCCCAATGTGCTCTACTTGCGTATTTTTAAATAGGTCTCTGGATAATTTATTGGAGATTGAAGATATTTTGTCAAATTAGAAAACTATTCTTAATTGGCCACCATTAAAAAATCCTCAAATGCTAAATGATGTCTTAGAAGAGATTAAAATAAGAGATATAGAATCGAGTATATCAGAAATTTAGGAATAAATTAATATTATGAGAGAATAGATGAGTTAAAGAATTCATTTGCTTGAGAAATCTCTAATTTAAAGAATGAGTGAGAATCATGATATAATTCTAAATACTTATTCAAAAATCTCTTAATGCTAAAGCTTATGTACCCTTGTTGCTTCTTATTCTGGAAATCTCAATCAAATCTCCTCCTCTCAAGATATCAAGTCTATGCTTGAATCATTATTTGAAAAATAAGAATAAAATGAAGAAGAATTATAAAAAATTTTCGAAAACTCTAAAACTAATAGCATAGTAAAGGAACAAATTCGAGGCTTTAGCTAAAAAATGAATGAATTCTTTGATTTATTTAGTATTACTAATAATAATCCAGAAAAAACTCAAAATATTGAAAACTAAGGAAAAAAAGGAGGAGAATTTTAGATAACACCTAGTATTCAAGAATCCATAGATAAAAATGAAGAGAAGATAAAGGAGTTAAATGATAAAAATGCAGAGCTGGAAAAAGAAAATGCAGAGCTGAAGGTAGAAAAAACAAAGCTGAAGGAAGAAAAAACAGAGCTATAGAAAGAAAAAACAGAGCTGAAAAATGAAAAAAAAAACCTGGAGGAATAAGTTGAATAATATATAAAGTAAGTAAACATATTAAATGTAAATAATGAGAATTTAGTGAGTCTTTCGAATAAAAGTAAATATTATCTTAATGATCATTTACTCTATGTCAGATTATATAGAGGTTTAAACTGGGCTTGTGATGAATAAAAATGTGAATAATGTACAAATAAAAGTTTCTAATCAGGTTTCTGTAGCTTGCGATGTGATGATAGTGACTATGACTGTTGCTTATCATGTGCTCTCGAAATAGGTTTTTCTATTTAGCCACAAGATTAATAAGATAATTCAAGTGAAGATAGTGGCGAAATTAATGATTCTGAATTAGAATTAAAAAATTTATAAGTAAATTATAAAAACTTGACTCTTCTTATGAAAGATTACCTCTATGATTTAGATTCTCATGAGTGTTATCTGACATTTAAGAGAGAATCAAAAACAATGACTTGGAAATGTGATGTAATGAACGATGAATGTACTAATTAAGAGTTTACAAAAGTTTATGATGGATTTGTTTGTGAAGAGTGTGGATATGACTGCTGTTTACCATGTGCTCGTAAAAATGGTATTAAGCATAAATAGGAGTTAAACAATAGAAATTCAGAGCTGGAATAAGAAAAAAATGAGCTACCAGAACATTAATAAGATAGTTCAAGTGAAGATAGTGATGGCTTCAGACGTGTAAGACCGAATCAAAAACAATGACTTGGAAATGTGATGTAATGAACGATGAATGTACTAATTAAGTGTTTACAAAAGTTTATGATGGATTTGTTTGTGAAGAGTGTGGATATGACTGCTGTTTACCATATTGTTTACCATATGCTAGTAAAAATGGCATCACTTTTAAGTGATCTAATAGAAATAGCTATTTATTTTCACTTCTTCAAACTATAAATTTTGTATTTATTCCATCAAAACTATTTTCAGTACATATACACTTTTTATGCTACTTTATTTAAGTCATACATGTTTTGATCATAAAATATGCTGTTTTATTATCAAATATATGAAAATTATTTATACTATTTTCTATAATCTAAGAAATACATTTTTTTTGGAAAAATAAAATGCTTTAAATTTATAGTTTCATAATCCAATAAAAAATATATTTTAATTCCAAAGTACTTTACCTTAAATCTAATTGAAGAATAGTATGAGATAAAAGTGGAAGGCTTAAAAACTTTTTTTATATTATTAAAATTATTTTTGCTAACAATAGAGAAGATTAACAATTACATCTTCTAAGTTGTAATATTTCTATTTCTATTATTTCATTATTTTCTAAATAAATTTAACTCAATTTCTATTTTATTTATCCACTTTCATCAAAATAATTTATTTTAAAGTGATTTTAATAGACACAAAAACATATTTATTTCTTCTTCTCAATTTATTTTGGTAATGAATAAATCCGTGGCACAATATATTAATATATTATAAAAAATTAACAATATATTTATGTTTTTTTATAATTTTATTAAAAAATTAAAATAATATTAATATTAAAACTTAAAAAAAAAATTTAAAAATTTTGAATATTTATGAATACATTTTTTTTAGTTTAATCATAATATCAACATATATATTTTTTAAATACAAAAAAATTTTTTAATTGATATATAATGTAAATTTCTTTTTAATTAGATATGAAATAAAAAATAAATAAATATCAAGCATATATTTTTTTCATAACTAATCTTTGTGCTTTAAGAATTCTAGTTCTAAATTTAAACTGTGATCTATAAGCATGATAATTACCTCTTAATTAAGTAATAAAATAATAAATTCAACTTATAATAAAGAGAAAAAATATAAATTTTATTGAAATATATTTGTTAATAGCATTTATTAAATGTAAAAAGCAATAATAAAAATATTTTAAATTATTTTTGTTTTATCCTTAACATTATATATTTTCCTACTACTGTGGTTTTTATTAAATAATTTATAAAGTCAAATTAAGAATAAATAAGAATCTTTACTAAAGATCAAGTATCAATGTTTAGAGATTAGCACAATTTGATAAACTATCGACTAATTATAATGCCCCATCAGCACTGATTTCATTCCATCTTGTTAAAATTTAACATTTAAAATTATTTATATGAAGAAACAAATTAAAAAAATTATTTTTACTTAATAAAAAGTACCAAATTTTAGAGATTACTACAATATTCAAATGAAGTGCCTAAGTTAATAGCTCCTTCATCTCCTATTAAATTATTGCTTTCAATTTTATTACAAAAATTAGTTAATTCAATCGTTTAAAAATAACAAATAAATATAAACTAATATAATATTTTTTAAGCAATAAATAAATAAGAAATATAAACAAAAAATAATTTACCCTAGGTAGAGTGTCAAGCTTTATAGATTAATACACTTTTCTAATGAAGAACCTAAATATGCTGTACCTTTATCGCCAATACAATTGTTGCTTTTAAATTTAATCATAAATATAAAATCAAATATCAAAAATAAAAATAAAAATTTAACATGAAGAACAATTAATCAATCAGACAGACAAATAATTCTAATAATTTTATATTTAAAAATGAAAACAAAATAGTAAAGATATAAATAAATATAAATTATTTAGTACAAGAGGTAGAGTTCTAATGAAGATAGTTGTGAGCATTTTTCTAAAGCACACCCTAAATCATATACAAGCTCTTCATTAATTAGTGATTCACTTTTAAAATATATAAAAATTATTTATATTACATTCTATAATCTGAGAAATAAATTTATTTTGGAAAAATAAAATGCTTTAAATTTATAGTTTCATAATTGAATTTAAATTGTTGATCGAAGAATTAAAAAATATTAAAAAATGTAATAAAAAAAAGGATTCAATATTCTTTAATTCCAAAGTACTTTACCTTAAATCTATGTCAAGAATGGTATGAGATAAAAGTGGAGAGCTTAAAAACTTTTTTTATTAATAATTAACATTATTTTTGATAACAATAGAGAAAATTAAGAATTACATCTTCTAAATTGTTATATTTGTTTTTCTATTACTTCATTTTTTTCTAAATAATTTTAAATTTTCAAATAACAAATTTAATTTTGATTTAAGAATTAAAAGAAATCCTTTTTATTCAAAATTTAATTTCATGCATTTTAATTTTTATTTCAATGTAAAAATTAAGAGATTAAAAAAATTTCTAATAAATTATTAAATAATTTAGTATTAAATAAAATTGATTAATTTCAAAGGATTAACAAATTTAATTTCAAAAATATATAAGCATTTCTTTTAAAGAAATCATTAAACATCAAATTTAAAATATCTCTAAAATTATTTTAAATAATCTAAATAAAAGTTTAAAGTACTGATTATCAAATTTACTGCATATTATATAAATTTAATAAAGTATATTACATCAAAAAAGTGATTTAAAATTTATTTATAATTTAATACAAGGAGAAAAAAAATAATTTAATTTTCCTCCTTAATTAGTATGTTTTAAGGTAGGTACAAAGGAGTATACCAATGTTTATTATATATAAATTAAGAAATAATACTATAATTCTATTACAGAATTTTAATAATATAATAAAAGATGGAGTAGACTTTATAATAAATTGTTCCTGTGATTCTTAATATCACATAAAAAGATGAGAAAAATATTTAAATATCATCATAAAATAACAAAAAATAACCAAAAATATGAAATTATAATGAAATATTTGAGTTAATTTAAATTTATTATTAAATTCATTATAAAATATTATTTATTTTAATCTTAATAGCTCAAATGATGTAATATTAAATGAAGATAATTAGTTAAATAAATAATATACAAACAATGAGGATAACTCAAAAAAAAATAGAGAAATACAAAAATATATTTTTTAAATAATGGTAAATAAATGATATTAGAAGATTGCTTAAGTAATAAAAAAATAAAAAATTTACAAAATTTAAATAGTACAAGACAATACATACACTCATTATAAATTCTATTTCTTAGTTACTATTTGATATTTTATTAATAATTTCTTCATTATTAGTAGTTATATCTAATTTAAAACAATAAATTTTAAAAACAAACTAACTCCTTCTCCTAATTTAAAAGACTTTTTAATCTTAGAGAACATATTTTAATTGTTAAGTATTAACCTATTCTCTTATTTTAGAATAAATAAAAATTTTATTTTTAAAAGGATAAATAAGATTTTAGACTTCAAAAATAAAACATAAAATATTGTTGAAAGTTATTAGTAGTTAGCAATGAAATATTAAAAAAAATATTTATTGTTATTTACAAATTAAGGAACTCATATGTAAATAAATATGTTGAGATATACAAAATTTTTAAAAATTTTTAACTAATACTAAATTAAAAAATCAATATCTCATTATATAGTTTTATAAGCTATCTATTTATTAATCATTTTTTTTATAAAATAGATTCAACATCTTTTTCATAGCTTTATAAGAAGCTTTATGTTAATTGTGGAATTAATTGTGGTGGAATAGGTACTTTAGGATCATTTAAGAAATATCCCTCCATAAAAGTATTTGTAGAGTTAGATTCTTTCAAAAATATTCCATTAATAATATTCTCTATTCTAGTTATATTAGAGTTTTTAGGCATTTTTGGGTGATCATCAAGATGAGCATTCACAATCAAAACTTAATTTTGATTAATTTTTTTTTTATGAATAATATTTAATGACTCAATTCTATGACCATCCTGCATTGGTTTAAGTTTAAAAACTGTCACCTTTGTATCTGAATCTATCACTTCGAGAGATTCAAATACTTCACATTATTCACGGTTATTTTTAATACTTTCATAGTTATTAAAGAAATATTCTACAACCTAATTAACTTAAGCTGGAATATTGCCTTCAAGCTTTAAAATTTACTTTTCAGTCTTGTTATAAGGTTTCGCTGATAAAGTAAAATACTTTCCTTTCAAAAGGACATTCCAATTTTCTTAAGAATTTTTAACCAGCTAAGCATCATCAATAGCTTTATCTACAATTGAGGAATATTGACTTTGTCCCATTTTTTAAAAAGATATAATAAATTCTTTGAAAATAATTTAATGATTATTAAGTATTTGCTAATTTTACTTCACATTTAAAGCTCGAAAAACTAACTTAATACAGGTCAATTTATTATTAAATACATATAATAGAAAATTGTATTTTTATTTTTAAATCTCCAAATTTATCAGATTATTAAGAGTTACACTCAAATTAAATAATGCGAATTATTAAATCTTAGCAATAGTTAATGTAAACTATTTAATATATAGAAAATTAAAGCTAATTATTCACATAATTTCAATGTTAGTAATTAAAATTTACCAGATTCATAGCAATTTACAGAAAATATTGTTTAAAACATAAAATCTAATTTTTTTAATAACTGATTTTGATTTTGATTTAGAATTTACTAAAATATAAATTTGTAAATAAATTATTTAATTTACTTTTTTTTTTAATGGAAACTTATAATAATAAAAAATTAATATTTATTATGAGTTTCATATTGTTTGAAGCTTTTTAAAATTGTCTTTTGTGAGTTTTTATTATATTAATTAATAAAAAATACAGATTTTTCTTAGATTATATGTTTGTCGGATTTAAAAAGAATTTTTGTTTGTTACATATCAAAAATTAAATAAATTTATCTATTTAAACAGATTTTTATTTATTTGCGTATTGTAAAATTGAGATTACAGTTTATAAACTAATGAAATTGATAAAAGTAAAATTTATTATTTTCTTTTATTTTAAAAATTTTTAAGGGTTTTTTAAAAAAAGCAATTAAATATTAAAAATAATAATTTTATTTACAATTATTTAATTTTAAAGAAATTTTTATAAATTAAAATATTTTGACTTTTAAAAATAATTTAAGATAGTATTCCAAATTTTTTATTGCAATATATTTAGTATATCTAAATATTTTTTAAAAATTGTAATTTTTTTATCCTATAATTATGTTTAAAAAATATTAATTTCGATTATTAATATTAAAAATTTATATATTTGATATAAAAGCATTGCATTTACAAAATTTAATAAGATATAATAAGACACTAGTAATTATTTAAAGATATAATTTTTTTATGTGAAAATTTGTGGTTAGCTTTAGAGTAATTATTTTATTTTTGTAAATTTAATTTATAAATTATATTTTATTTAATATATTATTTATTTACTTACAAAAAATTGGTATTTATAAGTAAAAATAATAATAAATCTTACAAAATATAAGGTTAAAATATCCTATCACAAAATATACTTACTTTTTTCAATAAATTTTTATTATCATAAGAAATATTTTTTAAAGGTAACTAATCTTTTTGATTTAAGACACTTTCTTACTTTCAATTCTTATAATTCTTTCCTTATTTTTTATTTAATATAAATTAGAGTAAATTAATAAAAAAAGTTTATTAATGAATAAGATTTTTGAATTAAAAATTATATTTTAAATCAAATAATAATAAAAAAATTAGCAGAATAAAATAAAAATTTTAACAAATCAAATAAAAATTTAATAAATTAATAAAAAGAGTTATATTGATTTTATATTTTAAAAAATAACACTCAAAAACTGTTTTTACTAAAGGGTAAGTGTCAAATTTGAGAGATTAGTGCACTTTCCTAATCCAACACTTAAGCTTAATGCACCTTCATCATTAATTTAATTCGCCCTTTTTAAATATTGAAGAAAAAAATACAATTAATTAATTAGAAGGAAGGAAGACAGGAATAAATTAAGAAAAAATATAGATAATAAGTAATAATAAAAGCAAATTTTGAAAATTAAAATTAGTTAAATTAACAATGAAAGAAAATAAAAAAGAAAAACAAAAATAAATGAATGAAATAAAAAGCTAATAAATAAAAAATTAAATTAGAATTTTATTGTTTTTAATTCATTTTTGAATTAAAAATTATCACAATCCAAAACAAATAATCTATTTTTACATAAGACTTAGTGTCAAATTTGAGAGATTAGTGCACTGTGCTAAAGCAGAACCTAAGTCTGATGCACCTATTGCACCAATTTAATTGTTGCTTTTTAAATATTGAAGAAAAAAAATATAATTAATTAACTATTTAGAAGGAAGGATAATATTGAAGAAAAGATATAATATAATATAATAAGAAATGAATACATTTTTAATAAAAGTAAAATTTGAAAATGAAAAAATTAATTAAATTAACTAATAAAGAAAAATAATTCAATTCAAGCAGAATAATTATAAAAAACAAAAATAATTAAAATAAAAAATATCACAACCCAAAAAATTAAATTGCTCTTACAAAAGTCTAAGTGCCAAATTTGAGAGATTAGTGCACTGTGCTAAAGCAGAACCTAAATCTGATACACCTTTATCACCAATTTAATTCTTACTTTTTAAGTATTGAAGTAAAAAAAAATATTTAATTAGTAAATTAGAAGAAAGGAAAAATGAAGAAAAAATATGAAATAATAAGAAATGAATTAATTTATAAAAAATGAATACTTTGAAAATAAATAAATTAAAGAAAAAAAAAAACGCAAGCTGGATAAAAAAGAAAAATAAAAAGCTACATTCAAAAACTAATAAACTATTTTTACCTAAGACTGAGTGTCAAATTTGAGAGACTGGTGCATTATGCTAAAGCAAAACCTAAACCTGATACACCTTCATCATTAATTTAATTCTCCCTTTTTAAATATTAAAGAAAAAATTTTAATTAATTATAAAATTAGAAAGAAGGAAAAAATGAAGAATAAAAAAATAATAATAAGTAACGAATTAATTAATAAATAATAAAATCAAAAGTTAGTTAAATTAAAAATGAAAAAAAAAAACTCAAGCAAAATATAAAACAAAAACAAAAACAAATCAAATAAAAATCTAATTAATAAATAAATTAAAAGAGTTAGTTTTTTTGTTTTTAATGGATTTTAAAATAAAAAATACCATAAATCTAAACAAATAAATTGTTTATACCTAAGATTAAGTGTCAAATTTGAGAGAATAGGGCACTTTGCTAAACCAGAACCTAAGTATGATGCACCAATTGCACCAATTTAATTCGCCCTTTTTAAATATTGAAGAAAAAATTAATTAGTTAATTAGAAAGAATGGAAAAAAGAAGAAAAAATATGAAATAATAAAAAATTAATTAATAATAAAAACAAAGTTTAAAAATGAAAAAGTTAGTTAAGTTATCAATGAAAGAAAAAAAAAACAAGCAGAATTAAAAAAAAAACAAAAATAACTCAAATAAAAAGCCAATAAATAAATAATTTAAAAGAATTCTTTATATATTAAAATATATCACAATCCATAACAAATAAACTGTTATTACCCAAGATCAAGTGATAAATTTGAGAGATTAGTGCACTTTGCTAAAGCAGAACCCAAATGTAATGCACCTTCAGCATTAATTTAATTCACCCTATTTAAAAATAGAAGAAATAAATTAATTATAGTTTATTAGAAGGAAGAAAAAAATGAAGAATAAATATGAAATGATAAGAAATAAATTAATTAATGGTAAAATCAAAATTTTAAAATGAAAAAATTAATTAATAAAATAAACAAAGAAAGAAAGAAGGAAAAAGGCATAAGCAGAGTAAAAAGAAAAATCAAAATTAATCAAACAAAAAACAAAAAATTAAAAAAGTTAGTTAATTTTATTTTTAAATTAAAAAATATCACAATCCATAGCGAATAAACTATTTTTACTAAAGATAAAGTGTCAAATTTGAGAGATTAGGGCACTTTGCTAAACCAGAACCTAAGCCTGATGCACCAATTATACTAATTGCACCAATTTAATTGTAGCTTTTTAAATTTTGAAGAAAAAAATATTTATAATTAGTAAGTTAGAAGGAATGAAAAAATGAAGAAAAAATATAAATAGTATGAAATAAGTTAATAATAAAAGTAACAAAATAAAAAAAACAAAAACACAATAAAAAATGAAAAACAAAAATAAATTAAATAAAAGCTAATAAATAAATCAAGATAGTTTGCCATATTATTTTAAATTTGTTTCATATTAAAAAATATCACAATCCAAAACAAATAAACTGTTTTTTACTCAAGATTAAGTATCAAATTTGAGAGATTAGTGCACTCTGCTAAAGCAGCAGCTAAATCTGATGCTCCAATTGCACCAATTTAGTTGTCACTTTTTAAATATTGAAGAAAAAAATATAATCAATTAGTAAATTGGAAGGAAAAGCAAAGAAAAGATAAGAAATGAATAAATTAATAATTAAAAAAAGAGAAAAAAAAAAACAGAATAAAAAAAGAAAAACAAAAATAAATCAAATAAAAGCTAATAAGTAAATAAATTAAGAAAGTAATTCATATTGTTTTAAATTAATTTTATATAATAATACCACAATTAAAAACAATAAAACTGTTTTTACCTTAGACTAAGTGTCAAATTTAAGACATTAGTGCACTATGCTAAAGCAAAAGCTAAATCTTATGCTCCTTTATCACTAATTTAATTTTAGCTTTTTAAATATTGAAGAAAAAAGATATAATTAATAATTAGAAGGAATGAAAAAATGAGTTAATTTAACAAAGAAACAAAAAAATACAAACAGAGTAAAAAATAAGAATAAAAATAAATTCAATAAAAATCTAATAAATTAATTGAAAGTTTAGTTATATTGTTTTTAATTCATTTTTAAATTAATCATACTAAAAGTTAAGTGTCAAATTTGAGAGATTAAAACACTTTGCTAAAGTAGAACCTAAATCAGATGCACTAATTGCACCAATTTAATTCCCCCTATTTAAATATTTAAGAAAAAATTGTAGTTAATTAGAAGGAAGGAAAAAAAAGAAAAAATTTGAAATATAAGAAATGAGCTAATTTTTAATAAAAGCAAAAGATGCAAAAGAAAAAAATTGTTAAATTAACAAAGAAAGAAAAAAAACGCAGCAGAATAAAAAAGAAAAACAAAAATAAATGAAATAAAAGTTATTAAATAAATTTAAACAGTTAAATTGTATTGAACTAATTTTTATATTAATAAATATCACAATCAAAACAAATAAATTATTTTTACGCAAGATTAAGTGACAGATTTGAGAGATTAATGCACTTTAATAAACCAAGACCCAAACTTTATACATCTTCATCACTAATTAAATTGTAGCTTTTTAAATATTGAAGAAAAAAATAAAATTAAATAACTAATTAGAAGGAAGGAGAAAATTAAGAAAAAATATGAAATTATAAAAAATGAATGAATTAATAATAAAAACAAAAGTTATAAATATTTGTATAAATAAAAATGAATGAATGAATGTAGATGAGAATTTTTATTTCAAAAAATATTAAATTAAAATACAAAAAAATATTAAATAATAATATAAATATTAATAAATTAAATATACCTCAGATCAATATGGAGAACCTAATGAGATTAAAATTAAGAGTTTAAAAACTTTTTTATTAATAAAATTAATTTGAAGAATATTCATAAAAAAAATATATTATCACTTTTTTTAGATCATTAAAGTATTTTTTTTATTATTTCATTTATTTTTTTATTTTTAAAAATATTGGAATAGCAATTTATGAAAACTTAATTAATTACAAGTATGTTAAATAATGAATGTACTTTTATTTCTTTTCAATTTTATAAAAAGAAGAAATAAATTATATAATTTATCAAATATGAAAATTCTATTTTTTTATTTAGTAAATTTTTCATTTATAATCTAGTAACGAGTGGAATATATATTTTTGATATTAAAATAATTATAAATTCTTTAACTATTCTCAAATTCAATTAGCTTTTTTTAAAGCACATGATATTTTGCTATAAAGGTTAGGATATTTATTTTCTAAAATATAAAATTTAATAATCAATCAATTTAAACAATTTATTTATTTAAGCTGGCCATTTATTAGTTAGTTATCATATATTGGGGCATATAAAATTAAAAATATAGTATGTCTTATAATGTCTTAAATACCATATTACCTCGATCAGAGACCTGATTGAGTTCCAGAGGTTTATTAAATTTCTCATATTTTCAAGGCACTTTTTTTTGGGCAAAAAAGATACTTAGGGAATGCCTTAATTAATGAGCATTTACAGTATATATTATATTTTTCTAGTAATTTTATATTTTATATATTTATTCATCCATCATTTTTTTTAATGTATTTATTATCATTAACATACATAAAAATAAATTAATCTCCTAGATTTAAGAAACTTTTTCCTTAGTTCAAATTTTAGTGATTCATGGTAATCGCTATTACTTTTTTTAATATAAATTAGTTTAAGTTACTAATCAAGATTAACAATAAATAAATAAATTAAAAGAGTTCTATTATTTTAAATTCAATTTATATTAAAATATATCTAAAATAATAACAAATAAACTATTTTTACATAAAATAAAGTTTCAAGTTTGTGAAATTAGTGCACTTTGCTAAGGTAGAACCTAAATATAATACTCCTTGTTCACTCATGTAATAATTCTTACTTTATATATATTGAATATAATATTTATAACTAATTGTTAGCAAGTAAAAATGAAATTTTAACAAATGAATGTTAACAATCAAAGCAAAAAATTGTAAATTAAAATTATTTTAATTTAAAAAGAATACAAGAGCAATACAAAATATAAAAATAAGTTAAATGAAAACCTAATAAATAAAGAAATAAATTAAAAGAGTTTTAATGGTTTTTAATTTGTTTTTATGTAAAAAAATATCACAATCCAAAATTTTTACCTAATATCAAGCGTCAAATTTGAGAGACTTGTACATTTTGCTAAAGCAGAGCCTAGACTTTTGGCATCTTCATCACCAATAAAGTTCCTACTTTTTAAATATTGAAAAAAAATAATCAATTTGTGACCTTAAAAGAAATTCAAAGAAAAAATATGAAATAATAAGAAATAAATTAATTAAAATAAATGAGTTAAATTAAGAAGAACAAAAAATACAAGCATAATAAAAATAAAAGTAAATCAAATAAATAATTAAATAATTAAATTAAAAAATAAATATGATTATTTTTGTTTATTTTTTTTGAAAAAAATATAAAAAAAAACTGTTTTTACCGAAGATTAAGTCTCAAATTTGAGAGATTAATGCAATTTGATAAAGCTAAACATAAACCTGAAGCACTTTTATCACCAATTTCATTTCCGCTTTTTAAATATAGAAGAATAAAATATAAAGTAAATTAGTTAGAAAGAAAAAATGAAGAAAAATAAGAATTAATTATTCATTAAACCAAAAACTAAAAATGAAAAAATGAGTTAAATTAAGAAACAAAAAATTCAACTATGAAAAGAAGAAAATAAATCAAATAGAATGCTGGCCAATAAACAAAATAATAAATGAATAAGTAAGTTAAAAGAGTTTTTTTCTTTTTAAATTCTTTTTTATATGAAAAAAAATAACAATATAAACTGTTTTTACTCAAGATAAAGTGTCAAATTTTATAAATTAGTGCACTTTTTTAAATCAGAACCTAAAGCTAATGCACCCCCATCGCCAATTTGAATATCACTTTTTAAATTTTGAAGAAAAAATATAATTAATTAGTTATTTTAGAGAATTCTTAGTAATGAAGGTAAAATTAAAAAATTTATTAAACTTAAAAAGAAAAAAAACAGAATCAGACAGACTAAAAAATAATAAACAAATCAAATAAAAACTAATAAATAAATAAACTAAAAATTTTAATAGTTTTTAATTTATTTTAAATAAAAATATAACAATCAAAAATGAATCATTTTTTTTTACTTCAACTAAAGGGTCAAATTTGAGAGACTAGTGCTCTTTGCTAAATTAGAAATTAAGCCCGATATACCAATTATACTAACTTAATTTTCACTTTTTAAAAATTGAAGAAAAAAAATATTATTAAATAATTAGCTAGAAGGAAAAATAAGAAAGAAAACATATGAAAGTTTAACAAATCAATAAGTTTATAATTTTAATAAAAATATTTTAAATATTATGAAATGAGTTAATAAGAAAAATAAAATAAAAATAAATCAAATAGAAAGCTAATAAATAAGTTAAATGGGTTAATTATATTGTTTTAAACTCATTATTTATATTAAAAAAATATCATAATCTAATCTAAAACAAAGTTGTTTACCGAAAATCAAGAAATAATTTTGAGAGATTAATGCATTTTGCTAAAGCAGAACCTAAGCCTGATATGCCTTCATCATTAATTGAATTAGAACTTTTAAAAAATTGAAGAAAAAATATTTTATTAATTAGTAAGTTTGTTAATTGTAAAAATATGAAAGAAAAGCAAATTAATTAATTTAAAATTTTAAAAATATAACAATCAAAAACAAATAAAAAGTTTTTACCTAAGATAAAGTTTCAATTTTGAGAGATTAGTGTACTCTGCTAAAGTAGAACCTAAGCTTAATGCACCAGTAGTATCAATTTAACTTGCTCTTATTAATAATGGAAGAAAATTAATAAAATTATTTATACAGTTAGTTAAAAAAAAAAGAAAAGCATGAAAAAAAAGTTAAAAATAAAGAAAGAAAGAAAGAAAGAAAGAAAGAAAGAAAGAGAAAAAAACAGAATTAAAATAAATAAATAAGTAAATTAAAAGAGTTTTATTATTTTAAATAATTATATTTTTAAAAATTATTTTCAGTATAAATAAATTATTTTTACTGAAAATCAAGAGTCAAATTTGAAAGATTAGAGCAGTTAACTAAATCAGAACCTAAATCAGATGCATCTTAATCACCAATTTATAGATTAGAAAGTCTATTAGACAAAATATATTATAAATAACTTGAAAATTATATTAAAAAAGATAAAAAATGAAAATATACCTTTCATCATAATGGAGAGTTGAATGAGATTAAAGTGAAAATTTTATGAACTTTTTTTTATCAGTAAATATAAATTAAAAGAAAATTAATAAAAAATAAATAAATATTTACTTCTTCTAAATTCTTAAAATGTTTTTTATATAACATCATTTATTTACTTATTTATTTTTCAAAAATGTTGAATCTCAAAATTTGCAAATTTAATAAATTATAAAAATATTAGGAGATTAATTTAGTTTTAATTAGAGTTTATTTGGATAAAAAGAACAAATAATGATAAGGTAGATAAAATAAGAAATTACATACCTTGATTATAGGAAGTGATATCACCAAAAAATTAGCTTAACATTTATTATTAAATTTTAATCCTACTAATTAAAGCATAAAAATTTAAAAATGTAATAGTAATTAGAGATCGATGGGTGGGTAGGTAGGTATACATTGAAAAATTCAGTTCTTAAATTTTAACTAAATAATTTTTATAATAATATTTAGGTTTCAGTGTAGTAATGAGGGGAAATTAATAGACTTTATAGCATATTTAGTATTTATAATATTTCTAAACAGAGCTGAGAGCTGGAAACAGATAAAAAAATTTACGATCTTTGGGTAATGTGAACAAAACTACATTATAAAAATATTAATTATCAAAAAAATACTTATGTATATTAATGATAAAGAGTAATTATCCATTTACGTTGTTAATTTGATTCAAAAAATAAATTCAATTTAAATCTAAGGCATACAAAAAACAATTTAATATTAAATTTATTTTTTTGTTAATTAATTAAAATCAGTATTTTCTATTCTTTTTGATTTTTTCATTTAAATTGAAAGTAAGTCAACCATATTTAGGTTTTGGTTCAGTAAAACGCACTAATCTCTAAATTTTGTTTGCCACTATATTTATTGTAAGTTATTGAATAAATTTGATTGAAAAAATAAATAAATAAATAAATAAATAAATGGGGTTAAGCTAAATAATTTTAAAACAAAATAATACAAAATTTGAAATTCTATTTATTTTATTAACTAACTAAAATCAACATTTTATTTTCTATTTCAAATTATTTTACTAAATATATATATTGTAGTTTTTTTAATGTTGGAAACTATATAAATTCAAATCGATTTCTTTGTATATTATTAATCACAAAAGTTAAAATAAAAAGTAAAATTTGATTTCTCCTTGAGGTTTTATTTAAATCATGGTATCTAATTAATTAATCATGATCAATAAAAAAAGGATAGAAATATGATTGGCAGATAATATTTCAGATTAAAATAAAACTGGCATATAAAAGCTTGGAATTTATATTATTTAATAAGATATAAAATAACACTAAATGTATCAAATTATTTTATCATTTTTGGAGAAACCGGAGGGTTTGCTTAAGAGGAATATTAATTTATTTAAGTAAAGTTAATTTTTTTATTTTTTATAAATAATTTATTTACTTACAACTATATGAATGAAATTTATAATTAAAAACAATTATAAAATCTATCTATCTATTTATATTTTATGTTAATAAACTTTTTTTAAATATTATATAATTAAATATATTATATTATTCAAAACTTTAATATTTATTCATTCATCCTTTTTTCGCCACTTGTTTATCACCAGAAATATTTTTGAAAGACAACTAATCTTTTTGATTTAAGACACTTGCTTATTACTTTGAATTTTTAAGATTCACTCATTGATCTAAAAATTTAATAATAAATATGTTTAAATTTTAAATAAATATCAAAATCGAATAAACTTTTAAATTAAAAATTATTTCTTAAATTAATAAATAAAATAGCATTAATGGAATAAAAAAGATAAAAAAATAAATCAAATTAAAGCTATCAAATAAATTCAAAGAGCTTTTTTGTTTTTTATTCATTTTTATAGTTTAAAATATCACAATCTAAAAATTATAAACTGATGCACCGATTGCACCAATTTAATTGTAACTTTTTAAATATTGAAGAAAAAAAATATCATTAAATAGTTAATTAGAAGGAAAAAATGAAGAAAAATATGAAATAATAAGATTAATAATTAATTAATAATAAAAGTAAAAGTTAAAAATAAAATGATGAGCTAAATTAACAAAGAAAGAACAATAAAAGCAAGCACAATAAAAGGCAATAGAAAAAAGAGCTTTATTGTTTTTAATTAGTTTTTATAATTAAAAATATTACAATCCAAAACAAATAAACTGTTTTTACTCAAGACTAAGTGTCAAATTTTAGAGATTAATACAATTTGCTAAACAAGAACCTAAGCCTGATGCACCCATTGCACCAATTTAATTGTAACTTTTAAATTATTGAACAAAAAATATATTATTAAATAGTTAATTAAAAGGAAAAAATTGAAGAAAAAATATGAAATAATAAGATTGGTTAATTAACAATAAAAGCAAAAGTTGTAAATAAAATGATGAGTTAAATTAACAAAGAAAGAACAAAAAAAAGCAAGCACAATAAAAAGAAAAAGAAAAAAGAGCTTTATTGTTTTTAATTAGTTTTTATAATTTAAAATATATCACAATCCAAAACAAATAAACTATTTTTACTTAAGGAAAAGTCCTAAATTTGAGAGATTAATGCAGTTTACTAAACCAGAACCTAAGCCTGATGCACCCATTGCACCAATTTAGTTGTAACTTTTTAATTATTGAAGAAAAAATATATCACTAAATAGTTAATTAGAAGGAAAAAATGAAGAAAAAATATGAAACAATAAGATCGATTAATTAACAATAAAAGCAAAAGTTGTAAATAAAATGATGAGTTAAATTAACAAAGAAAGAACAAAAAAAGAAACAATAAAAGAAAAAGAAAAAAGAGCTTTATTGTTTTTAATTAGTTTTTATAATTCAAAATATCACAATCCAAAACAAATAAACTGTTTTTACGATAGATTAAGTGTCAAATTAGAGAGATTAATACAATTTGCTAAACCAGAACTTAACCCTGATGCACCTATTGCTCCAATTTAATTGTTACTTTTTAATTATTGAAGAAAAAATATATCATTAAATAGAGTAAATTTCGATACAAATTTACAAAAAGCGAGTTTTATATACCGTGTTTTTACATTTAATAAAATTAAAATTTTAAATATTTTTTGTGAATTTTTTTTCATCCATTTTTGAGTTTGAAAAAATTTATTTTTTTCAAAAAAAATGACATGTTATAAGAATATACGGTATCTATTATTTCAAATTTTATATTTTGAGAATTTAAAGCTTTCTAAAAACTCAAAAATAAAGCTGTTTTAAGCTTATTTAGCTGCATTTATTATGTTATTAAGATATATTACATTTCGCCTTTTGTAAATTAAATAGGCATTTCACTCTAGTTAATTAGAAGGAAAAAATGAAGAAAATATATGAAATAATGAGATTAATTAATAATAAAAGCAAAAGTTGAAAATAAAATGATGAGTTAAATTAACAAAGAAAGAACAAAAAAAGCAAGTACAATAAAAAGAAAAAGAAAAAAGGCTTTATTGTTTTTAATTAGTTTATAATTAAAAATATCATAATCCAAAACAAATAAACTGTTTTTACTCAAGCTGAAGTGTCAAATTAGAGAGATTAATACAATTTGCTAAACCAGAACTTAAGCCTGATGCACCTATTGCACCAATTTAATTGTTACTATTTAATTATTGAAAAAAATATATCATTAAATAGTTAATTTGAAGGAAAAAATGAATAATATGAAATAATAAGATTGATTAATTAATAATAAAAGCAAAAGTTGTAAACAAAATAATGAGCTAAATTAACAAAGAAAGAAGAAAAAAATGTAAGCAAGCACAATAAAAAGAAAAAAAAAAGAGCTTTATTGCTTTTAATTAGTTTTTATAATTAAAAAATCACAATCCAAAACAAATAAACTGTATTTACATAAGGTGAAGTGTCAAATTTGAGAGATTAATGCTTTTTGCTAAAGAACAACCTAATCCTGATGCACCCATTGAACCAATTTAATTATAACTTTTTAAATATTAAAGAAAAAATATATCATTAAATAGTTAATTAGAAGAAAAAAATGAAACAATAAGATTGATTAATTAATAATAAAAGTAAAAATTGAAAATAAAATATGAGCTAAATTAACAAAGAAAGAACAAAAAAAGAAAGCACAATAAAAGAAAAAGAAAAAAGAGTTTTATTTTTTTTAATTAGTTTTTATTATTAAAAATATCACAATCCAAAACAAATAAACTGTTTTTACCCAAGATTAAGTGTCAAATTAGAGAGATTAATACAATTTGCTAAACCAGAACCTAAGCCTGATGCACCCATTGCACCAGTTTCATTGTTACTTTTTAATTATTGAAGTTATAATATATCATTAAATAGTTAATTAAAAGGAAAAAATGAAGAAAAAATATGAAACAATAAGATTGATTAATTAATAATAAAAGTAAAAAGTTGAAAAATAAAATAATAAGTTAAATTAACAAAGAAAGAAGAAAAAATAATCAAGCACAATAAAAAGAAAAAGAAAAAAGAGTTTTATTGCTTAAAATTAGTTTTTATAATTAAAAATATCACAATCCAAAACAAATAAACTGTTTTTACAAAAGATCAAGTGTCAAATTTGAGAGATTAATGCAATTTGCTAAACCAAAACCTAAGCCTGATACACCTTAATCACCAATTTTATTCCAACTTTTTAAATATTGAACAAAAAATATATCATTAAATAGTTAATTAGAAGGAAAAAATGAAGAAAAAATATGAAATAATAAGATTGATTAATTAACAATAAAAGCAAAAATAGAAAATAAAATGATGAGTTAAATTAACAAAGAAAGAACAAAAAAAAGCAAGCAAGCACAATAAAAAGAATAAGAAAAAAGAACTTTATTGTTTTTAATTAGTTTTTTTAACTAAAAATATCACAGTCCAATACAAATAAACTGTTTTTACCGAAGATCAAGTATCAAGTTTGAGAGATTAATGCAATTTGCTAAACCAGAACCTAAACCTGATGCACATTTATCACCAATTTAATTGTAACTTTTTAAATATTTGAAGAAAAAATATATATATAAATAAATAGTTAATTAGAAGGAAAAAATGAAGAAAAAAAATAATAAGATTGATTAATTAATAATAAAATCATAAGTTTAAAATAAAATGACGAGCTAAATTAATAAAAAATGAACAAAAAAAAGCAAGCACAATAAATAGAAAAAGAAATAAGAGCTTTATTGTTTTTAATTAGTTTTTTTAACTAAAAATATCGCAGTCCAATACAAATAAACTGTTTTTACCGAAGATCAAGTGTCAAGTTTGAGAGATTAATGCAATTTGCTAAACCAGAACCTAAACCTGATGCACATTTATCACCAATTTAATTGTAACTTTTTAAATATTGAAGAAAAAATATATAAATAAATAAATAAATAATTAATTAGAAGGAAAAAATGAGAAAAAATATGCAATAATAATAATAATAATTACAAAAGTTGAAAATAAAATGATGAGCTAAATTAATAAAGATTGAATAAAAAAAATCAAGCAGAATAAAAAGAAAAAGAAAAAAGAATTTATTGTTTTTAATTAGTTTTTATAATTAAAAATATCACAATCCAAAACAAATAAACTGTTTTTACCCAAGATTAAGTGTCAAATTAGAGAGATTAATGCAATTTGCTAAACCAGAACCTAAGTCTGATGCACCAGTTGCACCAATTTAATTGTAACTTTTTAAATATTGATGAAAAATATATCATTAAATAGTTAATTAAAAGGAAAGAATGAAGAAAAAATATGAAACAATAAGATTGATTAATTAATAATAAAAGTAAAAAGTTGAAAAATAAAATAATAAGTTAAATTAACAAAGAAAGAAGAAAAAAAAGCATACAAGCACAATAAAAAGAAAAAGAAAAAAGAGTTTTATTGTTTTTAATTAGTTTTTATAATTAAAAATATCACAATACAAAACAAATAAACTGTTTTTACCCAAGATCAAGTGTCAAGTTTGAGAGATAAATGCAATTTGCTAAATCAGAACCTAAACCTGATGCACATTTATCACCAATCTAATTTTTTCTTTTTAAATATTGAAGAAAAAAAATATCATTAAATAGTTAATTAGAAGGAAAAAATGAAGAAAAATATGAAATAATAAGATTAATAATTAATTAATAATAAAAGTAAAAGTTAAAAATAAAATGATGAGCTAAATTAACAAAGAAAGAACAAAAAAAAGTAAGCAAGCACAATAAAAAGAAAAAGGAATAAGAGCTTTATTGTTTGTTTTTAATTAGTTTTTATAATTAAAAATATCACAATCCAAAACAAATAAACTGTTTTTACCCAAGATCTAGTATCAAGTTTGAGAGATTAATGCAATTTGCTAAACCAGAACCTAAGCTTGATGCACCAATTGCACCAATTTCATTGTTACTTTTTAATTATTGAAAAAAAAAATTTGAAACAATAAGATTGATTAATTAATAATAAAAGCAAAAGTTGAAAATAAAATGAGTTAAAATAACAATGAAAGAACAAAAAAAATGCAAGCATAAGAAAAAGAAAAAAAGCTTTATTGTTTTTAATTAGTTATTATAATTAAAAATATCACAATCCAAAATAAATAAACTGTTTTTACGATAGATTAAGTGTCAAATTAGAGAGATTAATACAATTTGCTAAACCAGAACTTAAGCCTGATGCACCTATTGCACCAATTTAATTGTTACTTTTTAATTATTGAAGAAAAAATATATCATTAAATAGTTAATTAGAAGGAAAAAATGAAGAAAAAATAATAAATAATAAGATTGATTAATTAATTAATAATAAAAGCAAAAGTTGAAAATAAAATGATGAGCTAAATTAACAAAGAATGAACAAAAAAAAGTAAGCAAGCACTATAAAAAGAATAAAGGAAAAAGAGCTTTATTGTTTTTATAATTAAAAATATCACAATCCAAACAAATAAACTGTTTTTACCCAAGATCAAGATTCAAATTTGAGAGATTAATGCACTTTGCTAAACCAAAACCTAAGCCTGATGCGCCTTTATCACCAATTTAATTGTAACTTTTTAAATATTGAAGAAAAAATATATCATTAAATAGTTAATTAGAAGGAAAAAATGAAGATAAAATATGAAATAGTAAATAAGATTAATTATTAATAAAAATAAAGTTAAAAATAAAATGGTGAGCTAAATTAACAAAGAAAGAACAAAAAAAAGCAAGTACAATAAAAAGAAAAAGAAAATAGATCTTTATTATTTTTAATTAGTTTTTATAATTAAAAATATCACCATCCAAAACAAATAAACTGTTTTTACTTAAGGCAAAGTGTCAAATTTGAGAGATTAATCAACTTTGTTAAAGAAAAACTTAAGCCTGACGCACCAATTGCACCAATTTATTTTATACTTTTTAAATATTGAAGAAAAAATATATCATTAATAAGTTAATAAAAAGGAAAAAATGAAATAATAAGATTAATTAATAAAAAATAAAAGCAAAAGTTGAAAATAAAATGATAGGCTAAATTAATAAAAGAAAGAACAAAAAAAAGTATGCAAGCACAATAAAAAGAAAAAGAAAAAAGAGCTTTATTGTTTTTAATTAGTTTTTATAATTAAAAATATCACCATCCAAAACAAATAAACTGTTTTTACCCAAGATCAAGTGTCAAATTTGAAAGATTAACACAATTTGCTAAACCAGAACATAAGTCTGATACACCTTTATCACAAATATAATTGGAACTTTTTAAATATTGAAGAAAAAATATTTAATTTAATAGAGTAAGTTGCCATACAAATTAACAAAAAGCGAGTTTTAACTGTCTTTTTACATTTTACAAAATTAAAATTTTAAATATTTTTTCAAAATTCTTTTTCATCTTAAAACATCTAACCTCGTATTGTAATTTAAAAATTTACACACTGCGAGTTTCGAGGGAATACGGTAATATATATTACATTTCGCCTTTTATAAATTAAATAGGCAATTCACTCTAGTTAATTAGAAGGAAAAAATGAAGAAAAAATATAAAATATTAAGCACAATAAAAAGAAAAAGGAAAATAAATAAAATAAATTAAAAGAGCTTTAAAGTTTTAAATTAACTTTTATAATTAAAAATATTACAATCCAAACTAATAAATTGCTTTTATTAAGTGTAAATTTTAATAGCAAAAAGTGAAGAAAATATCTCAAATAATAAAAAATGAATAATAAGTAATTAAAAGTTGAAATGAAAATTAAGTTAAAATGCTAAAAAATTTTAGTTTTAATAAAAATCAGCAAATAATGATGATAATTTCAAAAACAAAATTATTTATTTAAATAAATTGAAAGTTAAATATATAAAAAATATTAATAATAATAAAAATAATATTAATTAATAATATATACCAAAGATCAATATGGAGAACCTAATGAGATAAAAGTGAAGAGCTTAAAAACTTTTTTTTATTAATTTATATAAATTTAAAGGATATTAATAAAATAATTAATAATCACTTCTTCTAATTCTTCGTAATATTTAATCTGTTGTATCATTTATTTTTTTTCAAAAATATTGAATTGCAATTTATGAAATTTAATTAATTATAAATTGATAAAAAGAACAAATAAAATATAATAATTAATTAATTATCAAATATTAAATTATTAATTTTGTTTTATGAAGAGATATCACAGAAAAATTAATTATTTAATCTAAATATTTATATTTCAAACATATAATTAAAAATATATATAGTAGGAATTAGAGATGGCTGTTAGTTAATTATATTTTAAAAAATTCTAGTAATTAATTAATTAACCTAGAATAATTTAATGAAAATTTATAAGTAGATCATATTGATAAAAAAAAAATAAAGTAAATAATTTAAGGATGAAGATAAATTTAAAATATTTTTTGAATAAAACTAAAAATAAAACAAAAAATACAACACAAGTAAACACATCATTTTTGGCATTTATATAATTTATAAAGAAATAATATAACACTAACAGGTTCAAATTATTTGATCGTTTTTGGAGAAACCATAGGGTTACTTAAGAGGAATTAATTTATTTAAGTAAATTTAATTTTTTTATTTTTTATAAATAATTTATCAACTTACAAAAATAAATATGAATGATATTTATAAATATAAAATCAATAATAAATCATCTATCTATCTATCAGTTTATATTTTAGATTTAAAAAAACTTTTCAAAATATTATATAATATTATTCAAACATTTAATATTTATTCATTCATCCTTTTTTCTCCACTTGTTTATCAACAGAAATATTTTTGAAAGACAACTAATCTTTTTGATTTAAGACACTTGCTTATTACTTTGAATCTTTATGATTCATTCATTAGGCTAATATTTTATAATAAATTTGTGTAAATTTTAAATAAATATCAATATAGAAGAAAATTTTAAATAAAAAGATGAGCTAAATAAATTAACAAAGAACGAACAAAAAAAAGCAAGCACAATGAAAAGAAAAAGAAAAAAGAGCTTTATTGTTTTTAATTAGTTTTTATAATTAAAAATATCACAATCCAAAACAAATAAACTGATTTTACCTAAGCTTAAGTGTCAAATTTGAGAGATTAATGCAATTTGCTAAACCAGAAGCTAAATCTGATGCACCTCTGTCACCAATTTAATTCTTACTTTTTAAATTTTGAAGAAAAAAAATATCATAAAATAGTTAATTAGAAGGAAAAAATGAAGAAAAAATATGAAATAATAAGATTAATTAATTAATAATAAAAGTAAAAAATTTGAAAATAAAAGGATGAGCTAAATAAAAATTATTAAAGAAAGAACAAAAAAAAGCAAGCACAATGAAAAGAAAAAGAAAAAAGAGCTTTATTGTTTTTAATTAGTTTTTATAATTAAAAATATCACAATCCAAAACAAATAAACTGATTTTACCTAAGGTCAAGTGTCAAATTTGAGAGATTAATGCAATTTGCTAAACCAGAAGCTAAATCTGATGCACCTTCATCACCAATTTAATTTAACCTATTTAAATATTGAAGAAAGAATATATCATTAAATAGTTAATTAGAAGGAAAAAATGAAGAAAAAATATGAAATAATAAGATTAATTAATTAATAATAAAAGTAAAAAATTTGAAAATAAAAGGATGAGCTAAATAAAAATTAACAAAGAAAGAACAAAAAAAGCAAGCACAATAAAAAGAAAAAGAAAAAAGAGCTTAATAGTTTTTATTTAGTTTTTATAATTAAAAATATCACAATCCAAAACAAATAAACTGATTTTACCTAAGGTAAAGTGTCAAATTTGAGAGATTAATGCAATTTGCTAAACCAGAAACTAAGCCTGATGCACCTTTGTCACCAATAAAACCTTTTAAATATTAAAGAAAAAATAAATCATTAAATATTTAATTAGAAGGAAAAAATGAAGAAAAAATATGAAATAATAAGATTAATTAATTAATAATAAAAGTAAAAATTTGAAAATAAAAGGATGAGCTAAATAAAAATTAACAAAGAAAGAACAAAAAAAGCAAGCACAATAAAAAGAAAAAGAAAAAAGAGCTTTATTGTTTTTAATTAGTTTTTATAATTAAAAATATCACAATCCAAAACAAATAAACTGTTTTTACATAAGGTCAAGTGTCAAATTTGAGAGATTAATGCAATTTGCTAAACCAGAAACTAAGTCTGATGCACCTTTGTCACCAATAAAACTTTTTAAATATTAAAGAAAAAATAAATCATTAAATATTTAATTAGAAGGAAAAAATGAAGAAAAAATATGAAATAATAAGATTAATTAATTAATAATAAAAGTATGATTTTAAAATATAAGGATGAGCTAAATAAATTAACAAAAAAAAGCTAGCACAATGAAAAGAAAAAGAAAAAAGAGCTTTGTTGTTTTTAATTAGTTTTTATAATTAAAAATAACACAATCCAAAATAAATAAACTGATTTTACTTAAGGTAAAGTGTCAAATTTGAGAGATTAATGCAATTTGCTAAACCAGAAGCTAAGTCTGATGCACCTTTGTCACCAATTTTATTGTAACTTTTTAAATATTGAAGAAAAAATAAATCATTAAATAGGTTTTTAGAAGGAAAAAATGAAGAAAAAATACGAAATAATTAGATTAATTAATTAATAATAAAAGTATGATTTTAAAATAAAAGGATGAGCTAAATAAATTAACAAAAAAAAGCTAGCACAATGAAAAGAAAAAGAAAAAAGAGCTTTGTTGTTTTTAATTAGTTTTTATAATTAAAAATATCAAATTCCAAAACAAATAAACTGATTTTACCTAAGCTTAAGTGTCAAATTTGAGAGATTAATGCAATTTGCTAAACCAGAAGCTAAATCTGATGCACCTCTGTCACCAATTTAATTCTTACTTTTTAAATATTGAAGAAAGAATATATCATTAAATAGTTAATTAGAAGGAAAAAATGAAGAAAAAATATGAAATAATAAGATTAATTAATTAATAATAAAAGTAAAAAATTTGAAAATAAAAGGATGAGCTAAATAAAAATTATTAAAGAAAGAACAAAAAAAAGCAAGCACAATGAAAAGAAAAAGAAAAAAGAGCTTTATTGTTTTTAATTAGTTTTTATAATTAAAAATATCACAATCCAAAACAAATAAACTGATTTTACCTAAAGCTTAAGTGTCAAATTTGAGAGATTAATGCAATTTGCTAAACCAGAAGCTAAATCTGATGCACCTCTGTCACCAATTTAATTCTTACTTTTTAAATTTTGAAGAAAAAAAATATCATAAAATAGTTAATTAGAAGGAAAAAATGAAGAAAAAATATGAAATAATAAGATTAATTAATTAATAATAAAAGTAAAAAATTTGAAAATAAAAGGATGAGCTAAATAAAAATTATTAAAGAAAGAACAAAAAAAAGCAAGCACAATGAAAAGAAAAAGAAAAAAGAGCTTAATTGTTTTTAATTAGTTTTTATAATTAAAAATATCACAATCCAAAACAAATAAACTGATTTTACCTAAGGTAAAGTGTCAAATTTGAGAGATTAATGCAATTTGCTAAACCGGAAGCTAAATCTGATGCACCTTTTTCACCAATTTAATTTAACCTTTTTAAATATTGAAGAAAGAATATATCATTAAATAGTTAATTAGAAGGAAAAAATGAAGAAAAAATATGAAATAATAAGATTAATTAATTAATAATAAAAGTAAAAAATTTGAAAATAAAAGGATGAGCTAAATAAAAATTAACAAAGAAAGAACAAAAAAAGCAAGCACAATGAAAAGAAAAAGAAAAAAGAGCTTTATTGTTTTTAATTTGTTTTTATAATTAAAAATATCACAATCCAAAACAAATAAACTGATTTTACTAAAGGTAAAGTGTCAAATTTGAGAGATTAATGCAATTTGCTAAAGCAGAACCTAAGCCTGATGTACCTTCGTCACCAATTTTATTGTAACTTTTTAAATATTGTAGAAAAAATATTTTATTAAATAGGTAAGTGCCATAAAAATTTTCATTAAATGAATTATATACCAGTTTTTACATTTTATAAAATTAAAATTTTAAATATTTTTTTCCGAATTTTTTTTCATCCAATAAACAAAAATTAGATAGAAAATTATTGATGGATAATATTCAAGATTAAAATAAAACTGGTATATAAAAGCTTGTCATTTATATAATTTAATATGATATAATATAACACTAAAAGTTTCAATGATTTAATTATTTTTGGAGAAATCAGAGGGCTGCCTAAGAAGAATTAATTTATTTAAGTAAATTTAATTTTTTTATTTTTTATAAATTATTTATTAACTTACAAAAATATGAATTATATTTATAAATATAAAAATAATAATTAAATCTATCTATCTATCTATTTATGTTTTAATTTAAAAAAAATATATTATTCAATTTTTCAAAAATATAAAATTTATTAATCCATTTTAAGCCCATTTTTTATGATAAGAATTGTTTTAAAAGACAACTAATCTTTTTGATTTAAGACACTTGCTTATTGTTTTGAATTCTTATGATTTAAACATTTTGCTATATCTTTTATAATATTTTTGTTTAAATTTTAAATAAATATCAAGAATAAACTTTTAAATTAAAAATTATTTCTTAAATAAATAAATTAATAAAATAAAATTAGTGTAATAAAAAAAATAAATCAAATAAATTCAAAGAGCTTTATTGTTTTTAATTAGTTTTTATAATTAAAAATATCACAATCCAAAACAAATAAGCTATTTTTACTCAAGGTAAAGTGTCAAATTTGAGAGATTAATGCAATTTTTTAAACCAGATCCTAAGCCTGATGCACCCATTGCACCAATTTAATTGCACCTTTTTAAATATTGAATAAAAAACAAATAACTAAATAGTTAACTAGAAGGAAAAATGAAGAAAAATATGGAATAATAAGATTAATTATTTAATAATAAAAGCAAAAGTGGAAAATAAAATGATGAGTTTAATTAAAAAAGAAAGAACGAATAAAAAAAATCAAGCATAATAAAAAGAAAATGCAAAAAGAGCTTTATTGTTTTTAATTAGTTTTTATAATTTAAAATATCACAATCAAAAACAGATAAACTATTTTTACTAAAGGTCAAGTGTTAAATTTGACAGATTAATGCAATTTTTTAAACCAGATCCTAAGCCTTATGCACCCATTGCACCAATTTAATTGCCCCTTTTTAAATATTGAAGAAAAAACAAATAACTAAACAGTTAACTAGAAGGAAAAAATTAAGAAGAAATATGGAATAATAAGATTAATTATTTAATAATAAAAGCAAAAGTGGAAAATAAAATGATGAGTTTAATTAAAAAAGAAAGAACGAATAAAAAAAATCAAGCATAATAAAAAGAAAATGCAAAAAGAGCTTTATTGTTTTTAATTAGTTTTTATAATTTAAAATATCACAATCAAAAACAAATAAACTATTTTTACTAAAGGTCAAGTGTTAAATTTGAGAGATTAATGCTATTTGCTAAACCCGAACCTAAGTCTGATGCTCCTTCATCACCAATTTAATTGCCCCTTTTTAAATATGGAAGAAAAAATAAATAATTAATAGTAAACTATAAGGAAAAAATTAAGAAGAAATAAGAAATAATAAGATTAATTAATAAAAAAGCAAAATTTGAAAATAAAAAGATGAGCTCAATTCAAAAAGAAAGAAAAAGAAAAAATAGCTCTATTGTTTTTAATTAGTTTTTATAATTTAAAATATCGCAATCAAAAACAAATAAACTATTTTACTAAAGATAAAGTGCCAATTTTGAGAGATTAATGCTATTTGCTAAACCATAACCTAAGCCTGATGCTCCTTCATCACCAATTTAATTGCCCCTTTTTAAATATTGAAGAAAAAATAAATAATTAAATAGTTAACTAGAAGAAAAAAATGAACAAGAAATAATAAGATTAATTAATTATAAAAGCAAAATTTGAAAATAAGAAGATGAGTTCAATTCACATAGTAAGAAAAAGATAAATTAGATTTATTGTTTTTAATTAGTTTTTATAATTAAAAATATCACAATTGAAAACAAATAAAATGTTTTTACTTAAGATAAAGTGTCAAATTTGAGAGATTAATGCAATTTGCTAAACCAGAACCTAAGCCTAATAAACCTATTGTGCAAATTTAATTGTACCTTTTTAAATATTGAAGAAAAAATATAAAATTAAAGAATTAATTAGAAGGAAAAAATGAAGAAAAGACTAATTAATTATAAAAGAAAAAATTGAAAGTAAATTGATGAGATCAATTAAAAAAGAAAGAACAAAAAAAAGCAAGCAAGCACAATAAAAAGAAAAAAGAGCTTTATTGTTTTTATTTAGTTTTTATTATTAAAAATATCACAATCCAAAACAAATAAACTGTTTTTACTAAAGGTCAAGTGTCAAATTTGAGAGATTAATGCAATTTGTTAAACCAGAGCCTAAGCCTGATGCTCCTTCATCACCAATTTAAATGCCACTTTTTAAATATTGAAGAAAAAATATATAATTAAATAGTTAATTAGAAGGAAAAAATGAAGAAAAATATGAAATAATAAGATTAATTAATTAGTAATAAAAGCAAAAGTGGAAAATAAAATTATCATCTCAATTCACAAAGAAAGAACAAAAAAAAGCAAGCATAATAAAAAGAAAAAGCAAAAAGAGCTTTATTGTTTTTAATTAGTTTTTAAAATTTAAAATATCTCAATCCAAAATAAATAAAGTGTTTTTACCTAAGGTCAAGTGTTAAATTTGAGAGATTAATGCTATTTGCTAAGCCATAAACTAAGCCTGATGCACCCATTTTACCAATTAAATTTTACCTTTTTAAATATTGAACAAAAATAATATAATTAAATAGTTAATTAGAGGAAAAAATGAAGAAAAAATACCAAATAATAAGATTAATTTATTAATAATAAAAGAAAAAGTGATTTATAAATTGATGAGTTAAATTAACAAAGAAAGAACAAAAAAAAAAGCAAGTATAATAACAAGTAAAAGCAAAAAGAACTTTATTGTATTTAATTAGTTTTTATTAATTAAAAATATCACAATCGAAAACAAATAAACAGTTTTTACTAAAGGTCAAGTTTCAAATTTGAGAGATTAATGCAATTTGCTAAACCATAAGCAAAGCCTGATGCTCCTTCATCACCAATTTAATTGTACCTTTTTAAATATTGAAGAAAAAATATATCATTAAATAGTTAATTAGAAGGGAAAAATTTAGAAAAAATATGGAATAATAAGAAATAAATACAAAAGTTGAAAATAAAATGATGAGTGAGTTCAATTAACAAAGAAAGAAAAAAAAAGCAAGCATGACAAAAAGAAAAAGCTAAAAAAGCTTTATTTATTAATTAGTTTTTATAATTAAAAATATCACAACCGAAAACAAATAAACTGTTTTTACATAATGTTAAGTGTCAAATTTGAGAGATTAATGCTTTTTGCTAAACCAGAACCTAAGCCTGATGCACCCATTGCACCAATTTAATTGTATCTTTTTAAATATTAAAGAAAAATAAATAATTAAATAGTTTATTAGAGGGAAAAAATGAAGAAAAAAAATGAATGAATTAGATTAATGAATAATAAAAGCAAAAGTGATTTATAAAATAATGAGTGAGTTAAATTAAGAAAGAAAGAACAAAAAAAATCAAGCATAATAAAAAGAAAAAGCAAAAAGAGCTTTATTGTTTTTAATTAGTTTTTATAATTAAAAATATCACAATCCAAAACAAATAAACTGTTTTTACTAAAGGTCAATTGTCAAATTTGAGAGATTAGTGCAATTTGCTAAACCAGAGCCTAATCCTGATACTCCTTCATCACCAATTTAATTGCCCCTTTTTAAATAGAAGAAAAAATAAAAAATTAGAAGGAAAAAATGAAGAAAAAATAATAAGATTAATTATTTAATAATAAAAGCAAAAGTTGAAAATAAAATGATGAGTTAAATTAACAAAGAATGAACAAAAAAAAGCAAGCATAATAAAAAGAAAAAGCTAAAATAGCTTTATTGTTTTTAATTAATTTTTATAATTTAAAATATCACAATCTAAAACAAATAAACTGTTCTTACTAAAGGTCAAGTTTCAAATTTGAGAGATTAATGTAATTTCCTAAACCATAGCCTAAGCCTAATGCTCCTTCATCACCAATTTAATTGCCCCTTTTTAAATATTGAAGAAAAATATATAATTAAAGAGTTAATTAGAAGGGAAAAATGAAGAAATAATATGAAATAATAAGATAGATTAATTAATAATAAAAGCAAAAGTTGAAAATAAAATGATGAGTTCAATTAACAAAGAAAGAACAATAAAAAGAAAAAGAAAAAAGAGTTTTATTGTTTTTAATTAGTTTTTATAATTTAAAATAAAAATATCACAATCTAAAACAAATAAACTGTTTTTACTTAAGGTCAAGTGTCAAATTTGAGAGATTAATGCAATTTACTAAACTATAAGCTAAGCCTGATGCTCCTTTGTCACCAATTTAATTGCCGCTTTTTAAACATTGAAGAAAAAATATATAATTAAAGAGTTAATTAGAAGGAAAAAATGAAGAAAAAATATGAAATAATAAGATTAATTAATAATAAAGGCAAAAGTAATTTATAAAATGATGAGTTCAATTAACAAAAAAAGAACAAAAAAAAGCAAGCAAAATAAAAAGAAAAAAGAGTTTTATTGTTTTTAATTAGTTTTTATAATTAAAAATATCAAAATCCAAAGCAATTAAACTGTTTTTACCTAAGATCAAGTGTCAAATTTGAGAGATTAATGCAATTTGCTAAACCAGAACCTAAGCCTGATGTACCAAATGCACCTATTGCACCAATTTAATTGCCACTTTTAGAATATTGAAGAAAAAATATGATATAATAAGATTAATTAATTAATTAATTAATAATAAAAGTAAAAATGGATAATAAAATGATGAGTTCAATTAACAAAGAAAGAAAGAAAGAAAGAAAGAAAGAAAAAAAGCAAGCACAATAAAAAGAAAAAGACAAAAGAGTTTTATTGTTTTTAATTAGTTTTTATAATTAAAAATATCAAAATCCAAAACAAATAAACTGTTTTTACCTAAGGTCAAGTGTCAAATTTGAGAGATTAATGCAATTTGCTAATACAGAACCTAAGCCTGATGCTCCGATTGCACCAATTTATTTGTATCTTTTTAAATATGGAAGAAAAAATAAAAAATAAATGATTTGATTAAAAGGAAAAAATGAAGAAAAAATAAGAAATAATAAGATTAATTAATAATTAGTTAAATTAACAAAAAATTAAAAAAAAAAAAGCAAGCTCTATAACAAATAAACTGTTTTTAATAAGTGTAAATTTTAATAGCAAAAAATGATGAAAAAATATATAAAAATGAAAAATGAATATTTAAAAATTGAAATTAAAATTAAGTTACAATAGCTAAAAAATTTTTGTTTTAATAAAACCAATGAATAAAAATGATAATTTCGATAAGAAAAATTATAAATAAATTGAAAGTTAAATATATAAAAAGTATTAATAATAATAAAAATAATATTTATAAATTAAATATACCTCAGACCAATATGGAGAACCTAATGAGATAAAAGCGAAGAGTTTAAAAGCTTTTTTTATTAATTTATATAAATATGAAGGATGTTAATAAAAAAATTAATAATTACTTCTTCTAATTCTTTGTAATATTTAATCTATTATATCATTTATTTTTTTTCTTCAAAAATATTGAATAGCAATTTATGGAATTTAATTAATTCATTATTAATGTACAAAAAGAGCAAATAAAATATAATAATTAATTATAAAATATTAATTTATAAATTTGGTTTTATCAAGAAATATAACAGAAATATTAATTTATATTTATATTTAAAACATTTACTTAAAAATTAGCAGGAATTAGAGACGTGCAGTAGAGAATTAACAATCGGAACATTTTAGAGACAATAGGTAGAAAAAAAACATTCTACTTATAACGCCTAATTTTTCACCTTTCAAGCATTTCGCCTGAAGAGCAATTTTTTAGAACTAATTAATTAGAACTTTATTAACAAATTTTTAATAATTTGAAAATAAGTTATTAATTAAAAAAAACTAAAAAATTTTAAAATAAAATAAATTTTAAAAAATGTTATATTTTTGATGTAAAAAAATAATTATTTATTTTCGAAATTAAATTATTAATTATCTCTTATTCTAATATAAAATATAAAAAGTAGCATGCAAACCACTAAATTTTTGTATTATTGATATCTTGCTATAATCCAAACTATAATTCGAATATTGCTATTTATTTATTTATTTATTTCTTTATTTATTTATTTTTTGATGCTCTATTAGTGATGATATCCTGCTGTTGCCCATAACATAAACAAAAATTCAATTTAATTTAAGATTTGAAACAAAAATCTTTTTTAATTAATTTTTTTGTTTGTTAAAATACAACATAAATTAGTTAAGAAATTAATTTTAACAATATTTATTTTTAAATAATAATTTCATTGTAAAACTCAATTATTTATATCTCTTTATACAAAATTTCTATTTAAAATAATAAAAGTTCAAACAAAATTGAATGAATTTAAAAATACAATTAAATTCTTTAACAAAACAAAATTTTGAAATTATAAAACCATTTTTACAAATTAAGGAATATTTAATGGCTAATTTATGCAAAAAAACATCATAAATAATATGAATACAAAATCAATCTTCATTTTGAAAATAAAAAAAATTTTAATATCTCTACCAATAGTCAATTATTTTTCACTAAATATTATTTTAAGCTTTTTGTAATTTCCTAATATCTATAAAATTCAAGATATTTAAAAATAAATTTCGCCAATAATAATTAAATTTATTTAGATTCAAACATATTAAGTGCAGTTATTAAAGAGAGTTTGTTTATCATCCATCCATCATCTAACTTTTAGAATAATATTTTTATTTGAAGGGAGAAGTAAAAATTTCAATTTAATTTTACTGGCCAAATTAAAGATTTGCTTTTACAAAGATTTTGCAAAAGAAATAAATAAATACTAGTAATATTAAATATATAAATTCTACCAAAATAAATATTACAACTCAACAAAAAATATAATAAAAAAATAGATTTAATTTTAGTAGCAACTTAGTTAAAAGTAACTTAAAATGTTTTTTTTAATTAAAACATCGTCAAGCATTTTAATAGTTTAAAGTATTTATTGTTTCATCAAGTAAATTATTATTAATTTTATCTTGAAAAATAAAAAATTTAGTGATCAATTGAATGAATTAATATACAAAATTGGATTTTGTTTGAGATTATAAAATGTTTTTAATTTAAAATTTGATTGAAATTCAAAAATATTATTTATAGTTTTATTATCTATCTTTAATGGTATTATGAAAATCTTCAAATTGAAAGATGTTTTTAAGTAGTTATTTTCAATACAATGATATTTGTTTATATTAAGAAGAAAAGATGTTTATTTGTTTGATTAATTAAGGGAGTTTTTTGAATCTAGTCAGAAGCACTCACACCCTCCAACCGCTGGTGACTTTTCGTATAGACGATCGGTCAAACACAGCGATGGATGATCATCGTGAAACGCAAAAATACCTATTCTCCGAAGAGAATAAAATACTAATGGTTTCTGTATCCCATTTACGGATGAGAGTGTCCTTTTAATCATCCTAGATTGAGTTGTTGTCTTCAAATGAAGAAACTTACAGTAAGTAATTACTATAAGAAAGATCCTGTATAAGTACAGTCTTAAAGAAATTCTTATCAAGAAATAGTTTTCCTTTATATAAAAAATTCGCTATTTTATTTTTATGGTTTTCGAAAAAGTAATATTAATTAAATTTAGTTTTTGTAAAAATAGATAGATATATCTATTTGCTACTTTTATATTTATGAATTAATAGCATCTAATTTCGACTTGAGATTGAGATAGATTAAAAATTAAAAATGAAGTATAAATATTCATCTAAAGCATATAATAATAGAATCAAAGTATAAAAATATGCTTAATTTCAATAGTTTAGTATTTTACCATGCGCTTTTATTATTTACATATTATAAATAATATTTTAAAGTTCATCTTTCTTGAATTTGAATTATATCAATAGATAGATAATCGTTTTAAAAGTAAATAATATCAAAACCCAGAAAAAGATAAATAAAACAATGTCAATATTTGCTAAATCTAATGATAAATACAATAATTTATATTTTAATCAAATTTCTTTTAAAAAAAATGGTTAAAAACCTTTTTAGTGCAAAAAAATATTCATTTTTATTAAATCAATACATAAATAAAATTTGGTATTTATGAAGCAAAAATATGAAAATTTGTTTATTAAATAATCATATTTTGATAAAGATTATTTAATATCCTAACCATTAGGAGATAATTCATATATTGTTATTAATATTTTATTAAAAATTTATTTTTTTTGGAAAGTAGAAGTAATTCCATTTTTGTATTATTTTATTAAAATTTAGTCTTTGATGATTTAGATTTGCTTTGATAATAAATAGCAAATTTTTAATGAAATATAAAAAATCTGATAATTAAGAAGCTAAATTACAAATTTAATTGAAATAAAAGAAAAATTACTTACTATTTATTTATCACTATTTTCTTTTTTAAAATAAAATTCAAATATAAAAAATCATTTTAAACAGCTAAAATTTATACTTTTATCATATTAAATTAAAACTTCAATTTATAAATTTGTCATTTATTTTTTTGCATTAATTTCATTGATTATTTGCTGTTTAAATCATAATATTAAAGTATAAGAATTTGTAAAAATCTGAATTAGTGAATGAGTAAGACAAGTAAAAAATACACATGTTTCAAATAAAGTAACCCGCGCCTTTTGTTTTTATTTTGATTTTTAATTAATACTGAAATTTTATATTTATTTAATTTTTACTTTCAAAATCCTAAACATAATAAAATAGAAAACAATGTTTATATTTTTAACATAATATAACAACTGATTACATTGCAATTATATATTGAATGTAATGGTTTTTAAATTTGGTATAATTTAAATTTGGCATTAGTTTAGGTTTTGATTTATCACAAAACAAGATCCTTAGAAACTAATCTCTTAAGCTTAAAAATCTTGTATCGAAATTAACACTTTGATGCTTCATTAAGTTTATTGCCACTTTTATAAGATTTAATGTTAGATTTTAAATTATTTTTAAAATAGCAAGATTAAAAAGAAATTTAAAAATAGGTTATAATTAAAAAAATAGAAATAAATAAAAAAATAATAAATTGAAAAGCCAAATAGATAAGAAAATAATTATCAATTGTTTAAAAAAAATTTTTACATGAAAAATCATACATAAAGTAGTAAATAAGTATTCTTACCTTAAATAAATGTTCAAAGTTGAAAGTTTGTTACAGTTAGCTAAAGCTTAGCATAAAGTTGATGCCCCTTAAACACGCAATTAATTTTGGCTTTACATATTAAAAATTTTAATTTCTATGTATTTTTACTAAAGCATGACAAAATTAAAAATAAAATTTAAATTAAAGTTTATGATAATAATAATCTTAACTGTATTGATTTTTCTATAAAGCAATATTTAATTTATTTATTTACCTTAGATGTAGTGTTAATATAGCTAATTTTTTGAAGCTTATTAAAGAAAAACCTAATGCTTATGCACCTTTTGCTCCAATTTTATTATCACTTAAATAAAAAGATTTTAGTTACAATCAAATAAAAATGCAGGAAAAATAATTTTTATATGAATATTTGGTATCTTTATAGCGAATTTTAATAAAAAATATCAAAAGTAAGTATTTTACTAAAGATATAATTCTAATTTTGAAATATGAATGCAGTTTGTTAAACAACTACTTAAAACTGATACACCACTATCTCCAATTTTGTTATTACTTTAATAATAAATATTTAAATAAATTTAGTAATTAAATATTATTTTAAAAAAGAAAAAATAATAAAGATAATTTAAAATTAATTGAATTAACTACTACAGTATTAAAAATGTAAATAATCTTTAATTAAAAAATAAATTTTATTTATTGTTTTTAAAAATATCTAAAATATATTTTTATTACCTTAGAGATAGATTCAGACTTGAAAGATTGGTGCAGTTACCCATAGCAGTGCCTAAAACCGTAATTCCTTCATCTCCAAATTAAGTATAGCTTTTTTGATTATAAAATATAATGTCTTAATTCGTATCAATAAATGAAAGAACATATAATAATTTAAAATAAAGCTATATAGTATATCAATAAGATAAATATTATTTAGAAAGAAAGAAATTAAGAAAGCTTTTAATCATTTAGAAAGTTAATTAAATTTTTTAATTAATAAAATTAAATAATAAATTAAATAAATACACTAAAAGTATTATTTACTTTAGGTTCATTATAAGTGTTGATATCTTATTACATGCTATTAAGCATTTACCTAAATCTGATGCACCATCTTTACCCATTTAACTATTTCTTTTATGATTTTAAATATAAATTATCTTATTATTTTATTGAGTTGCAAAAGAAATTTAAAATCAAAAAGGCTAATTTTTAATTATTTGACATAAGGAAAAAAATAAAAGAATTATGAATAAATAATAAACTTGAGGATAATAATAAAAAGAATTTCTTTATATTTTCAGCCAGCATTTATATGTTTGTTTTGTTAAGATTAATAAATTATTTTACTGAAGGTCTAGTGCCAAGTATAAAAGATTATTGCAGTTTGCCAGAGCAGAACATATAGCTGATACTCCCTCATAACTAATTTAATTGTCACTTTTTAATAAGTATTATTAATTTAAACTGAAAAAGGAAAAAGGAAATATAACTAAGATATTAAGAGGGTAATATATTTTAAATTGCATTTTTTATTGATTTAAACTTCAAGCAATTAAAAGAAAATAATAAAGTATAATTTATAATTTAATAAAAATTTAGATATGGCTTTTTTGCTCTCTCAAAATAAGTTTTAAAAATAAAAAAGAAAATATCTAATACTAAAATAATGATAAATAAAACAAAAACAATTAAGAAAGTTTAGTCTGTTTCTTTTTTCTTTAACAGATCTTGAAAATATAAATAAATCATCTTAATAAAAAGAAATTAATATTTATATTACCGAATGTTAATAATCAAAGATTAAAGATTAGTGAATCTCTCAAGAGCATAGCTCAAAGCTAAAGCTCCATCCGTACCTATTTTATTTTATCTTATAAAATTTTAAAAATAAATTTATTTGAAAGCAAAGATGGATAATTACCAAAAAAAAATAAGATCTTATCAAATTAAAAGTTGGAAAAAATAAAAAAGAAATAAATATGTTTTTTTACTGAATTTAGAGATTCAAATTTTAGAGTTTTTTGCAATTTGCCAAAGCTGTTCCCAATGCTAATGCCCCAGCAGAACCTATTTTACTTACACTATTAATATTTTAAATATAATTAGTTAAGCAGTAAAATAATAATAAATGAAAATGATGAAAAATAAATAAAATCTAATATAATAAATATATTATTTTAAATTTATAATTTAATTCAATTCACAAATAAGTATTAAATTTTTTAAAGGAATAAACAATATTTTAACATTGAACCTTAGATCGATTTCAATATCTGTATGAAGTGAAAGTTAAGACTTGACAAACTTTTTAAAAATAAAAATACATTTTAAAAATGTTTACTTAAAAAATAAAAATACTTCTTGAAGATTATCGTAAAATTATTATAATTATATCATTATGTTTTTTAAATGAAATCCAATTTCAAATTAATTCAAAATTATTTAATTTATTTTTTAAAGAAAGAACTATTTAGCTTTAATTCAAATTCTTATTTTTAATTAGACAAACTATGTAATTAATTTTCAGTAAAAATCCATTAATTTTATATAATTTAATTATATAAAATAAAGTTATTATATTGTAAGCATATGATAAGATAGAGTATTGGCTAAATGATTATAATGATTAGGTAGGAAAGACGAATCTCTATATTGTATGAAATTTATTAAATATATACAAAAAGAATGAAACATTTACAAAAACATGAAATAAATAAAAATTTCAATATTTAGTATTTTTGTTTTGAAAATTTTTTGATATTATAGAATGTTAAATTCTGATTAGAAAAGAGCTTAAAAAATACTATATATATCCCATGTTTTACAATTAAAAAGCAAAGTGTTTGAGGTTTTTAAAATAGTGTTTCCAAATTAAATAGATCTATAATACATATAAAAGCAAATAAATTTAAGAATTTTTATTTTTGTAAACTATTAAAAACATAATAAATTACAGATAAATTTATTAACTAAATTTATATTTTTAAGTGTGTTTTTCTTTATATTGAAAATCATTGAGATCATTAAAGTTTAACAACTTTTTAAGTTAATCTCTTAAATTTAAGAATTTTTCTTCTTAAACTTGACTGAAGTATCTCATTTTCTCTTTTATAATTTAAAAAAATATATTAATAAATGAAAATTGCTGAATTAATAAACAAAAGCGGAAAATTAAAATAAAATTAAGAGAATTTAATGAGTTTTCGTCTATCATAGTTATAAAGTAAAATATTAATATAAATAGCAAATAAAACAAAATTTTTACTAAAGGTAGATAATTAAAGTGGACAGTTTAGTGCACTATGATAAATTAAAACCTAAATCAGATGCTCCTGCATCACTAATAAAGTTAGATCTTTTTATATTTAATTTTATTAAAAAAAAAATTTATTAATAATGTAAAAAATTAATTTAAAAGTGAGCAAAAAAAATAAATACCGAAATGTAATAAATAGAAAATTATTTTTGTTTTTAATTTTAAAAATAACTAACTGATTTGAAAATATATTAAAAAATACTATTTTTACTAAAGATTAAGAGTAAAACTGTAGAGATTATTAGACTTAGTTAAAGCAGAACCTATTTCTTAAGCACCCTCATCACTAACTTTATTTTTCCTTTTTAAATTTTGAGTTGAAAAAAAAAAAATAGATAAATTCACAATATAAATTAATAAATATACATACTATTAGGACATAAAAACATATTTTACAAAGAATTATCTAATAATTAAATAATTATAAGATAGGTTTTCTTAAATTTTAATTATTTAAATAGATTAAACAAAATTTATTTTAATATGAATAAATAAGCTAATTATACCTAAGTCCAAGGGTCAAAGTTTAGATATTAGTACAATTTGCTATTGCAGAAGTTAGACCTGAAACACCATCATCATCAATTTAATTACCACTTTTTATATTTTTAAAATAAATTTTTTTAAGCTTTTATATTGATTATTTTAATAAACTAAATAATTTATTGATAAATGAGCAAAGTGAATATGAGAAATTAATTAGTCAATAGGTTAAAAGCATAAGTTGATTAGAACAATTATTGTTTTATATATCCAAATCTTAAATATATTATTTGAATTAATGTAATAATTTTTTAGATACACAAATTTTAGAAAAGTTGATCTTAAAGCTTTTTTTATTTTATTTCATATTTAATAAATAAATAATTATTAATATGAAAAGATAAAATTTTTCTTATTTAAGAAATTTCTTAATTTAAGTTAAGATTTGCAATTAATTATTTGCTTTTTTTTTAAATGCTCAAATTATAATTTATGAGAAAATTAATATTTACTTACATTCAAATTTAAATAAGTAAAAAAGTGCAATAATTTTTATTTATTAAAAATTCACTTTAATCATTTAAAAAAATACAAACCAAAATAAGCTATATTTACTATAAATAGAGCTTTAAATTTGTGAGCTTATTTAGTTACTTTATGCCAAAACCTAAGCCTAACACACCCTATGAACCAATTTTATTCAACCTTTTATATTTTGCAAAAATATCACTTTTGTGTGAAAAAATTAGAAAAAATAAAAAGGAAAAATATAATTTTTATCAAAAATTAATATTGAAAAGTAAATAAAAAATTAATGGATGAGAAAATTTAAAGGAAAATGTGATTATAACAAAGAAAAAAAAAAATTTTAATATAAACATGCAATATTTACTAGAAGTTGATTATTAAAGTAGAAATGTTTTAACATTTTGTTAGAGCAGAGCCTAGCCCTGCTGAACCCTAAGCACCGATTTAATTGCAGCTTTCAAATTTATTAGAAAGTTGGTTAATTTAAAATAAATGAAAATATAAAAAATAATTTAATTCAAATTCTCATTTAAAATATATTAAGTAAAATAATAAGTTAAAAGCAAAATGACAAATTTGCATAGAGAGATAAATATAGAAAACAATAATTGAGGTCAAAAACTATTTTACTAAAAACTAAGTATCAAAGTTGAGATATTAGAGCAATTTTCTATAGCATGTCCTAAGTCTATGGCACCCTAAGCACCAATTTAATTACACCTATTTAATTATATTTGTCATAAAAAAGTTTAAAACTAAGTAATTAATAGAAATAATATAATAAATAAATAAAATGGATGCTTTTATAATTTATTTTTTTTTTTAAAGATAATACTAATTTATTTATTGTTAGTTTTTATTAATCAAATAATTAATACAAAAATTAAGTAAAAATAATCAATTTTTACGCAAGGGTGAGTTCCAAATATAAGAGATTAACACATTTTGCTAATGCAATACTAAGTTTTTAAGCATCAGAATCATCATATGAGTTGCCCCTTTTTACATTTTAGAGAAAAAATAAGAAGAAAGTAAATAGTAAAATTAAATGTTTATTCTATCAGTAATGAATTGTATATCAATATATATTATTTAAAAGATGATTAAATAAAAAATAAATAATTTTTTACCCAAATTAAATTTTAAGGTCTGTGTGAGATAAAAGCTCAGAGCTTTCAAACTTTTAATTTTATAAAATATATTTTAATGATAAATTAAAAAAAAAGAAGCAAGTACATCTGATAGTTACTCAAAACATTTTAAATTTTATTATTTCATTTTTAATTTTTATTTTTTTTAATTTTGCGCTTTAATATTTTTTAAGAATTTAAATGAATGAGCTAAATAAAAAATATTTAGATATTAATTTTTATAAATATATCCTAAATTGAACATAATATCATTCATTTACTCTCTTTTCAAATAATATTTATTTTAAATTTAAATAATTAAAAAAATTTGTTATTAATGACTAAAGAGTATAAAGTGTACAGGGAGTTAGTGATAATAATTGCATATTATGCTAACTGAAAAAATAAAAACTAACTGTTAAGAGTTAAAGAGTTTGTTTTTTAATAAATAAATGTGAATTTAGAGAAGTCGATATTTTTATGAAAAACCTAATAAAATTCAATGTTTGAATTATATGTTAAAATTTTGATAATGGATTTAGTCTAATTTTATTTTATTTTAAAAATATTTTAAGTTCAATATATTTTATTTTATTAAGGAGCCATCACCCATACACTCACTATACACTTTTATTTAAAAATCTCTTAAGATTAATGGATACAATTTAAGATTAAAATCTAATTGGAATATAAAGTCTTGGCATTTATATTATATACTAAGATATCATTTAACATTAAAAATTTGAAATTAATTGATAATATTTTTATTATTTAAAAATATTTATTAAGTTAATATAATATTAATAAGTAAAATATAATAAAATTAATCTATGTATCTATCTATATTTTAGGTTAAAAATTTTTTTCAAAAATATTAAATAATAAAACATATAACATTCAATTATTAAAACATTTAATATTTATTAATCCTTTTTTTGCTACTTGTTTATCATCAGAATTATTTTTTAAAGACAACTAATCTTTTTGATTTAAGACACTTGCTTATTACTTAGAATTTTTATGATTCATTCATTTAGTTTAAACTTTTATAATAAATTTGTGTATATTTTAAATAAACAATAAAAATATAAACTTTTAAACTAAAAATTATTTATTAAATTAATAAATAAAATAATTTTGTTGTTTAAAAAAAAAAATAAATCAAATTAATTCAAGGAACTTTTTTGCTTTATATTCATTTTTATAGTTAAAAAGATCATAATCCAAAACAAATAAACTGCTTTTACCTAAGGTCAAGAGTCAAATTTGAGAGATTAACACAATTTGCTAAAGCAAAACCTAAGCCTGATACATCCATTCCACCAATTTAATTGGTACTTTTTTTTTAAATATTAAAAAAAAAAATATTTTATTATACTTTTAATTAGAAGGAAAAAATTAAGAAAAAATATGAAATAATAAGATTAATTAATAATAAAAGGAAAAGTTGAAATAAAATGATGAGTGTATTAAATTAACAAAGAAAGAAGAAGAAGAAAAAGAAAGCAAGCACAATAAAAAGAAAAAGAAAAAAAAGAGCTTTACTATTTTAAATTAGTTTTTATAATTAAAAATATCACAATCCAAAACAAATAAGCTTTTACAAAAGATAGAGTGTCAAATTTGAGAGATTAATGCAATTTGCTAAACCAGAACCTAAACCTGATGCACCTATTGCTCCAATTTTATTTTAACTTTTTAAATATTGAAGAAAAATATATAATTACATAGTTAATTAAAAGGAAAAAATAAAGAGAAAATATGAGATAATAAATAAGATTAATTAATGATAAAAGCAATAATCGAAAATAAAATAATGAGTTAAATTAACAAAGAAAGAATAAAAAAAAACAAGCAAGCACAATAAAAAGCAAAAGTAAAAAGAACTTTATTGCCTTAAATTAGCTTTTAAAATTAAAAATATAACAATCCAAAACAAATAAACTGATTTTACTTAAGGCTAAGTGTCAAATTTTTGAGATTAATGCAATTTGCTAAACCATAACCTAAGCCTGATGCACCTTAATCACCAATTTAATTGTTACTTTTTAAATATTGATGAAAAATTAAATAATTAAATAGTTATTTAAAAAGGAAAAAATGAAGAAAAAAATATGAAATAATAAGATTAAATAATAATAAAAGCAAAATTGAAAATAAAATGATGAATTAAATTAACAAAGAAGGAAGAAGAAAAAAGCAAGCACAATCAAAAGAAA